TGACACCACGTGGGACGGGAGGCCCTGACGTTGACTGCTTCTGGTCACTTCTCACATCAAAACATTCCATCGCCCAGAACCAGGTTAAACACTTTTTGTATTATTATTTTTTTTCTCCCCGAGATTCCCGCTCCCGCTTATCACGCTTCCGAGATCGAGAAAAGGGCGAAAGAAGCAAACTTGCATCCCGCTAACACCCTCCCCCCCCTTTTCCCCATCCACGTCCAGGTCCCCTGTTCTCAACAGACAGGCGCCCCTTCTCTTCGACTACTGCGTACCCATTCATCTGCTCAGCTCACCGAGTATCCATTCTCATGGCTTTGTTATGTCATTCAGTGGATGATGGGGTGTACTTCCTCCTCTCAGTGGACAGGGGCGGCATTTGTCACGATTGAGGCAGTTATTACTTTACCTCTTACACGATTGAGATAGCACACGATGAATGATCCAGATCTCCCCTCCCACTCCTGTCTCGACGCCTCCTGGCACATGTCATATCATTCATGTTATAGACTTTCACGTCGTGAGCGAGAAAAAAATATAGCTAAAATAATTCTTGAAACTTCAAGTCTGGGTTCATCAGATTCCTTGAATCCTGTATTGAAAGGGTAGGTACAACTGAGCTAGCCGCCCATCCTCACTTCCTTTTCCGCCACTCCTAGCCGCCGCCGCCGCCGCCTCCTGGTGGTATTTCGCCTTAAATGGCTACTCGTACAATTAAAAATCAGCTAAAACTGTATTGTTGTTGGTGCCCTCGCATGGTCCGTGGCATCAAAGGGGGATTTCCAAGCCCCCATCCCGATTTCCCAGGAATATGTGTAATAACAGTGGTAAAATGCCAAGTTTGCACGACCTTGCGCCCAAGTTGAAGTAGAGTAAAAGGAAAAGTTGTCCGTTTTTGTTTCTCGCAAGAGATACGACTCAGATATCGTCTTCTACTCCTCTTTCCCTCCTCCAAGAAGACTGATCGGAACGCTTCACGTCTTCCTGACGTGTCCTTTTTCTCTTGTTCCTGGCCGTTCCTCGCCGGAAAACACCATCTCTTCTGCCATTCGCAGACAAGGAAAAAATGTTTGAAGGAAATGATAAGACGTTTGCTTTGGTAACGATCGACTGTCGGTCTGCGGTTGCTCGCTCCAAAGGCGTGTCTTGTGGCGTCCGATTTGTGTGACGCCCCATTTTTGTCTAAAAAGCCGAAATTCCGCTTCCCTTTGCAGGATGTAAACAAAACCAGGCAAGGAAAGTGTCGAGATCAAAATGCAGTGAACGCCGCCGGATGAATGCCTAGTCCCTTGGTGCCCGTCCGATGAACATGTTGAAGAGCAGGATATATACATTCAAGATGAAGTCGATGCCGGGTATTGAAAAAGAAAAGTTGAGGTAAAGTAGGTGTAGCCAGTTTGTTGCTAATTGCATGAAGATAACGCAGTGCAGGCGCTGCTGGATGGATAATAAGCCGTTAGGCAGTAAGGGGGTATCTGTTATGTGTGTATATGTGTGTTTGTGTAATGGCGCGGACCAGGCCGATCGTCGGGTCAGACTGGTTGTAGACCGGCCGATGAAGGTAGAGCTCGTCCGTATATGTACTTTGTATCTCGGGTTCCCTTGATAAAACAAGCCGCTTTCAGCTTCTCTCATCAGAGGGCTTAGGTCGGATTTGTCGAGCCTCGAGTTGGCGCTTCCGCTCCAGTTTTGCATAATGCAGTCCACATGCGTTGCAAAGTGTGCGCGCACCATCAGGGCCTCGGCGCCATTCCGGGGTATCGATTCGGTTGCAGCTATGGCATCTTCCAGGAGGTGCAGCTCTCTGTTCCAGTTTGTCAGCACTCTCTTTCTCCGACAGAACAACCGCATGATTGACAAAACTTACCCCCCTGCGCTTCTTGACTTCGGTGATGCCATAGGTCTTGTTCATACCGTCGTACATGGGAGTATCTTCATCATCGTAGCCCTTCTGTTTTCCAGCCGCCCGTACACGTTCATTGCTTTCCTTCACAACCTGTCGCACCGAATCCAGTGAGTTCCGGATGTACTCCACATTGTCAATCATCTCGTTCAATTCCTGCTCGGTGGGGAGTCGATCGTGCAGTGGATGATGAGCGCCCTGTTGTTCCGCTGCAATCTTGCCATAGGCCTCGGCGAAGTTAAAGATCGTTCTTGTTGCTGAACCAATCTGAGTGAACTTATTGGTAAGCTTGACGGACAAAAGTTTTTAGCGGGGCCACTCACTCTAGAAAAACAATCCTGATACCCCCACGCGTCGAGGTGTGTCCTGACCCGCGCAGGGCCATATTCGGGGTCTTCTCTGTGAGCTATCGGGCGCTGGGCCTCGTAGGGGAAAGGGGGAGGTGGACCAGCGTGACGTGGAGAGACAGGATACCCAGGCAACGGGACTTGTCCTGGCGGAAGCTGGCCCGGATGCTGGGGATGTTGGGGATGCGGATATATCGTCGGCGGAGGTGGAATGGAATGTTGAGCGTATGGGCCAGCGTTCTCGGCGGCACGCGCGTCGCTCTCGCGCATATCGCGCATATGCTCATGTTTGAGAGGAGGGCTCGGTTGAGGTCCAGAGAACCCGCCCAATGGCGCAGGCGGTCGACCTGCGAATGGAGGTCTCGGGGGATCTGAGATGGCCGGGAGAGCATCTTGCCTCGGCGCGAAGGTCGAAGCAGGAACAGGAGGTCGAGGCGAGTTCTTGTCCGTCGACTCGGCGTAAGACCTTGGAGGTCCAGGTGCAAAGGGCGAGGGGAAACTTTGAGAGCCCGACATGCTGGAACCCTGAGAAGGGGGGTAAGGACTGGGCTTCGCACCAGAGATGACCTCTGAGAGCGAAGGGAGCGACTGTCGATGAGGAGTCTCCGACTCGTCTGATGGTCGTCGAGGTTCAATCGGCGAAATCATGCCTGCGATGCTTGGTCCTGGAGCTGGGTGGTGTTGGTAGCCGGAAGAGAAGGACGAGGGAGGACCGTAATGGGAGCTCGGGCTAATAAGGGCTGCGGTCGCCATGGCGGGGCCGTCGCGGTAATGTCTATTATCGAGAGGCTCTCTGGGTGGGAGATGACGAGGTTCAAAGCGATCAGGGTTGATGGCAGAAGGTGGACGGCTGTTTAAAAGGTCTGATCAATACTTGGGTCTGGGGACAGGACGTGGGAACCAAATGAAGGCCAGAGCCAGAAGGGGGGGGGGGTGTCGAGTAGAATCGAACCTACCTTTGCCTAGTACCAGATCCGCCCGCTTCCATAGCGGGTTTGCCGGGAGAACAGATGAATGGTGATTAAAACCCCAGATGCGAATATAAGTCTCTGTGCATCTGACTCGACCAAGGCGTGAGGGGACGAGAGTGAGCCTTAGTTCGTGAAGTCGGTGTCAAGACGGGAGTCCGGTGAAGTTTGGTGCAGATGGGTGGAGATGATAGGAGAAACGGTCCAAGGTGGGAGGCTCAGAGTCATGTAAGAATAAAAACCGGGCAGGGAAGAAGGGTTACAGAGACGAGTGGAAGAGTGCAAGAGTGAAAGATGGGCGAGCGAAACCAAACCAACCAAAGACAGAGTGTGTGGTGGTAAGGTGTGGTGTGGTGTGGCTTGGCCTGGGACGAGAAGACGAAGTTAGGTTAGGTTAGTCGAACCTCTCTCTCTCCAGCTGGGTACCCGGTAGGCAAGATCTGATCAAGCTATCGGGCGCGTGTGGTATGCGTGGTGGCGGGACGGGAAGGTCACCGCATGTATCTTTCTCTTGGGCTTCGGTTTGGGGGGGCGTGTGATGAAAAGGGGGTGGAAAAGGAAGGGGGGCGATAGATCGGGGGTGATGCTGGCTCCAGTTGGGTGTGTCGAAAGATCCGGAGCTGAGAAAGAAAAGCCGCCTAGCGTTGGTCAAGTTACCACGCTGCTCTTTGTGGCGGCTTTTGGAATATTTCTTCCAAGACACACTGTCAGAATCCCTCGTCGAGACTAGTCCGAGTGTGCTAATTTCAACTGGGTCTGGGAGTGAGACTCGAGGAGGGGCGTGGGCTCGCGAAGATACCGTAAACCTGGACCGGTGGGAAGTTCTGAATTTCTTTTCGATGCCGATGCTTTGTGGTGCCGGTCTAGTGCCTGGTGAAGCGGGCGCCCTTCAACAAAGTGCTGAAGAGACAGAGATGTATGTTCGTACGTCGATGAGAAGCCGTAGCTCATATGGCGGCGCTTGTGCCTCTATCGTCGTCCGGCAAGTTGAACCAGATGAGTCGGCGGATAAAATGTGATGAGAGATCGCCTGTCTAAGCGCGGGAGGGTTTATTACCGGCTGGTGGTGTCTGCCGATTTGTACCTTGAGAGTCTGGCACAAAAAATGTGGATTGGGGGTGGTTAGACTCGATGCGGTGAAGGGGATTCGAGTCTTTCGATGTGTCGAGGTAGAGGGGATTTTGATGGATGTGTGAGAGGATGAGGAGCAGGAAGAAAAGGGAAGAAGAGGGAGAGAGGAAACGCGGTTGTGCGAATTATGGGAGGAAATGACAGAGGTATTATGAGACCAGCGACGGACTGGCACTCACTCAGGGCTGGGTATGATTTCTGAGTGGACGTATATTTCGCATACATTTATGATAAAGTACAGAGGTACCTGCGCGGCAACAGGGGGGGATCATCACAGGAGGCTTTCGGTACAGTGCCTCAACGGCGGAACGTCCATGTTCCCTTTGCTCCTGATGGACCAGATCCCTTCCCTACGCAGTAAGGTAAGTGTTCTTGGGGTTGTGGGGGGAGGGCATGGAATTGATGCCCGGGGGACCAGATGTGCGGTGTGTTGGACTGAACCGCCTGGGGCCAGAGGGAGATGCGTGTGCATGTACCGGTCAGAGCAGACAGGGGGCCCGGGGGAGTCAGGTAACGCATCGTATTGTCAAGGTATCCATCCAGTCGACGGCCCGGGGTGAGAGGAAGGGGGGAAGTTTTAGCATCTAGATTGGCGGCGACTGAAGCTCGATTGATTGACTGATGTGCAGATGGCCTGCATTCGGAGCTTCACCTCTTGGGATTTGTTCCGTTCCGTGCGGTCTCAGTGAGCCTAGGCGACTCGAGCCACCATCCTGAGGCTTCCTTGCCGAGGGACGGGACAACGTAGTACGAGGCGAGAGTGTCTATGTGTAAGCCGCGGACTGGTACTCTCAGTTGGTTGCGATAGATGCAGACTGGCTTGACATCAAACGTTGGAGACATTACTCCGAGAGGCGTCAGGAAGTTCTCATAGCGCCGTGCGGCAACCAAAAGATCGGCCAAGGGCTCGCCAGGCACTCTTGCCTGGACTCAGCTTCAGCCTATTCAGAGTTTAGGACGCACAGTCGGCCAACTCCTCATTGGGAGCACTGAATCTCTAAAGAGTTCCGAGTTCCAGGCTCTCAGCACCCACCCATAGTCTCGACTGCGAACAAGTGCCCTTCCAGTCGAGTACGGACATGCCAATATCTGATGACGAAGAGAAAATGGTACGACTTTTTGCAGCGTAGGGGAGGCGCCCCACGATAATTGGCCCGCTGTCACGGCTGGATCGCAGATTGGCTGTTGAGGGGGTCCTGCGGCTGGGCAGGGGGGCTCGCTGGGATCATGATCGGTGATGACTGGGGGGGGGGGGGGAACTGCAGCGGAACACCTTCCAGTCACCAGCGACAATAGCGTCGGCATCAGCGTTAAGTTTGCCAGTCGCTCTTGGCCCTTGGAATTGCGCTGGGTTGCGGCAACGCTGGCAGTGTTGACCCGACGAAGTGACAGCAGCGATGAGCTGAAGGATGCTATCAGCGGTCTGAGTTGGGCTTCGATCAAAGGTCCATTGATAGCGTTCCGTATCTTCTTGGTAAGATACATAGTGATTGCACCAGGCTGTATCGGTTTGCGTAAAGACTGGCAACGAAGAGATCGAGGGCGCAAGATTGACCGAGAATCAGAAACGTCGATATGGCCAACCCATTGCGGATACTGTGATGCCGTCGGTGAAGAACGTGACAGAAGCAACGTCTCGATTGCCGGGTGGGTGCCAGACAGTGGCGTGAGATGGAAACTGTGCTTTGTCTCTCCGTGCCTTCATTTCTTTCCACCCATGCTTGATCCATCTTCCTCTTAGCGATGTCACGAAGCTGGCAGTGACTGTCGTTGACAATCCCTGGACGACCCTCGACGACAGAGACTCTGTTCACTGTGACGGCCCCAAGATATGGAGGCATCCAGTCGAGCAGGTCAAGGGTTCATTCGTGAGGAAGCCGATAAACGGGGAGTGGGGAAAGACTCGAGGAGGGGAGACAACTGACGCTGGGAAGTGTCAAGGATTCGGCGCCGGAAGCTCGAGCACCAGGTAGCCCGTGTGATCCCTCAGAGCACCCTGTCCTGGTGATGTTGGCAGCAGCATGAGCCTGATGGATGGGCGAGGTATCCGTACCGGGGCGGCACATTTCGAATGTCAGATGTCTGTGACCAGGGGTTGTCGTTGGGTGATTTGCAAGGATGGTGGCAGGTATACGTCTCCAGATGGATCTCTTTTCACTTTCCAAGGTATCCGGTGTCGCCCTTTTTTCAAATGAGACTCGAAGAGGGGATCGATGAGTGAGACGGCCAAAGCTTCGAAGCTGCCCACGGCTGCTCAGAGCTTCTCGGAGCTCTCTAGAGCTATCGCTTGTGCTTGGTAGGATGCAGCACGCTAATATTCCAAATGATCGCCACGGGCATGTGTATAGATACAAGACCTGCTGCTGGCTGAGCTGGATGTGACAGGTGATGATGGACTCTTCTCTGCCAAGCAATGAAACAAAGGGTAATTGACTGGCAAGCGAATCGCATGCAATGGGGAAGTGTGTTGATGGGATAGAGGGCCCGGACCTAGGTCCGAACCCGACTGGACTGACGTCGGGATAGGTTTTTTTCGGCTTCACATATTCCCAGCCTCTCAGGCAGCCACGCTAAGAAGCTAAGGCTCCAAGGCTTCAGTCTGTCATCTCTCGGCCCAATTATGGACCGCGCCGATGCGTCGCCGTCCCGAACTTTCTTTCAGAGGAAGGAAAGGATTGGATAAGTATCTGGAGGGAAGGAACACGCTCTGGCCATGTGATAAGGAAGGGGCGTGTCCTCCCACTTGCTCGCAATGGCCACAGACGGCAAGGGGAGCGTAAAAGAGCACTCGAAACAGTTGGAAGGATGAAGGGGAGAATTATGATGGACTGACTGTAAGCCGGAACCAGGGAAGTATCCGTAAATGGTACCTTGGACGCGATCTGGGCAGAAGGGAGGTAACGTACGGAGTAGACAGCGCTGGAGTTCCCTACTATGGCCACGTGCTGTAGCCCACCTGTTTGAAGCCTTGTAAGGTCGAGCGAGTATCCTCCCAAAGAACCCGAGGTGGAAACCTTGGAACCTTGAGTTCCCGAACACAACTTGACTTGGGGAGATTGCCATGTACCTTATTATTTCGGAGTAGTCCAGGCTCGCCGATGAAAATCCGAGAGTGATACATCGTACGGAGTATGCTGATGAGCAATGAAAACCATTGCTTCATCCCATCCAGTACGGATTTACTGAGGTGCCCCGGCTCACTTGATGGACTCCACTCACAACGACCCAGTTCACTCACAGTGAGGTATCTGAATGAAAGAGCCCAGTGCCCGAAACTGAAAATGAAGGGTGAGGTGACCATCGAATCGACGGGAGGAAGCCGCCCGCCTGTCCATCGAACCCACGCCCTTCCCTGCTGCCTTGTGGCCTTGGGCGGGAATTCCACAAAGATCCAATGGGAAGACCCATTAGAAATCGGATAAGATGGGGCCCCTTCTCTTAGGTAATCCAGATCCATCCGAGCTTCTCCCAGATACGCACCCACCAAAGTGACCAACGTTGTGCAGTCACGCAGTGTGCACTCCCCGTCGTTCGTGGGAGCTTCCTCTTTACCTTTTCAGAGTATCCACTTTCCTTGTTTTTTCCCTCTCTTTTGGTTTTTTCCCACCTCATCTTTCTCTCTCTCTCTCTGTGGTGTCTGTCTCTCTCTCTCTCCGCCTGCATGCCCCTGGCCAACCACCAGTATTCAATCCTTCAACTCTCTTTCGTCATCCCCTTTGGCTGACATCCGTTTAGCAGCAGCTTTCTCCAACTTCCTCCAACCGCTGTCCCTGTCCATCCATCAGCCGTCATGGCTTGCTCTGTTGCACGCCCGTCACATCATTTACCTTTTTTGGTTTTCGTCGCTCTTGGTTCCTGTCCTTGTCCCGGAGGAACTGGGCAGAAAATCCATCCGACCGAACCCTTGACATCAAATTGCACCGCTGTCCGAGTAGCCGCGAACCCATGTTGGTCACCGATGTTGGTATCGGGTCCCAGGCACACCGTCCTCACGGTCCTCTGCAGTACCGGTACGGATACCCTTCAGGCCACCATCCATCCATCGGCCATCCATCAAGACACCATCGAAAGCTCATATCCACCACCACACCCCCGTACGTCATATCATGCCCATGTCTCTTCTACCAACGCGGCAATATCTCCTCCCACCCAGGCTTGGATGACTGCTCACTGGCGGTCGTTGACCGAGGGTCTTTTTGGAGTTTGTACGGATACTCCCTCCTGCAATACCCCCTGCCCACCCCATCATCTCGCGCAGTCCAACTTGGCCTGTCAGATTTTCACCCCGAAAATCTGGTTGCAAGAATTCGCCTTGTGATAGTTCACATTGACCAGCGGCATGTCGCTTTATAATTGGTCGCACTGCACATTTCTATTGCTGACCTGCTGTATTCACTATGCCCCAACCCTTTTCATCCTGGTCTCCATCTGGCGTAACAGCTCGACTTCTTGCAGATGTCAGAGCAATCCCAGGCTTTGCCACTCCTGTCGCCCTTCTTCCCGAGTTGCCAGAGGCCTGGAGGCTGCGGATACTCGAACCCTTACAAGGCAAGCCCCTTGCTCTTCTCCACGAAACATTGACAGAGAACAGAAAAAGCTATAATTGGGCATGCCAACGTCAAGCCCTACAGACCTCCAACTCACGATAGTGCTGATCGTGGCACCACACCAAACCGTCCCTAACAGAATGAGTTTTCTCGGACCTGGACAAGACATTACTGGCGGATTGAGTATCCATTCATCGTCTCGAGATGTGGCCGTGAACTGCGTTGGGATCTTCATCGGCTATGCTTTGCTACCGTCCACCAAGCATCAAGCCGAGCTCTCCGGAGAACGTCAATTGCGTCTCCCCTTGGATCAGGCTGGTCCGCGACTGTCATACCATGAATTGCGTTGCGGCTAAGGATAAGTAGCCGTCGGTTATTCCTACCTCGCGGAACACTGTCAAAACCTCAACGCAGCTCGCCGGCATGCGGCCATTATATCGGCCTGCTTGGCTCTTTCCGGTCCGGCCATATCGACTCGCATTGCAAGCCAATGAAGGCTCAGCACCACCTCGTCGCGCTCAGTTATCTCGTTGCATCTTCACATCTCGTATTCACCTTGAAAAGGCAACGACCTAGCGCCCAAAATGACCATCTACCGGTACCCGTACCTCCCTAAGGTTCAACGAGTGTGCGGGTAATCATGCACGATACACTTCGTACGGATACCCATCGTCGGCTAGATTTTCGCCAATTACCCACCCACTTCGCCAACTTCGCTGGGCTTTTGGGACCAACGTTGTCTATAGAAATCAGGGGTCCTTCCTGAACGGTTCTTAGCGCATCGCCTGGCCCCGTCTCGGTGCATCCGCGACGAACGGGGATACTAGAACCATTCAACTCGGCCAGTCAACCACAAAATCGTCTCTCCACCTACGGCCCCTCCTTCCAGTCGATTGGGATGCTGAATCGTATCATGTCTTTCCCACCCAATGGTGACGAGCGCTCTTCGAGCATGGAATCTACAGCCCTGCCGTTCTGCCGCCTAAGTTTGCATACACCCCAGCAATTTTCTAGTCGTACCCGTATCCCACGAGCATTTGTTCGTTGTTATTCCAAAGAGTAGCCGACTGCTGCGATGGCGGATCAAAGGCTGGGTCCGCTAGGCTTTTAGCAGAGCTCGCACCGGCTTGCTTATATTAATCGGATCTGACAACCAAGATACTACAGATCTAGCTCGCTTGATACGTGCGGCTCAAAAGTCAGTGCTTCGTCTAGTTGCTAAGCTGGCACGTCGTTAGCACCTGGCACCCCGGAGGCACTGCAGCCGATGGATATTCTGACTTTGTACGAATAGACAGCAAGAGTGCTACTCTATTTCTGTGTACCTCATCCGTGCCGCCGACCTCACACTAGACTGATAGAATATCGCTCAGCCTCTCTGAACTGACGACTACGTACTCTGTACACTACCAATATCGACCCCTGGAGACGTAATTTGCATGCACAGTTTTCGGACAACATGCCTGCAAGCCAGTCGCGTATTGGCGTCGATCATTACCATTCTGAATTCCAGCTTTCTGATGTTTCGGCTCCATAAACTCAAATGCACCCACGAAAGAGTTGCAGGATCTACAGGTCTCATCTCAAGCCTCTCAAGCCTCTTTTGATTAAAAGCTGTCTAAGTATCCGCATCTGCAGCGTTTCTTGGGGGCCATGTTGGCGTTCGGCAATTGCTCACCAAAGGAGCCAACTCTTGTACTTGAGCACTGATGCCCAACGAAATACAAGCGTCGCGACCTGAATGACGAAGGGTCCCCGGCTTCTTGCCATTTCCAGTTCACTAGATCTGCAACCGCCAGAGATCTACGTCTCAGCCAGACTCTTAGTATCCGCACCGCGTCTTAAATGGCAACCTGTGTTGGCTCGACCATCCTCAAGTCTCGACGGGATGGAACAAAGATGACTGGCGTGGTACGCAACGCTCAACACCTAACCCTCTGTTTCTGGGGCTCGGGGCCAAAGGGCTAGCAATGATCACGAGAGGGTGATCTATCACTAACAGCGCGTCACAGAGGGCCACTCTGAACGGCCAGTTGTGATCGGCAACACTACGCGGTGCACAGGCGGATTTTGAACCAAGTGGCGAATTGTGGTTTTTTTTTTTTTTTCGCAGAACGCCGAGGTCCATTGCTATTCCATAGGCGAGCAACCGCTGTTGATCTAACCATCGTCATCTTGAGACCGAAATGTCAAAGGATCATCAAGCTGAAGAACAACCGGGACCTGTCGACATCATAATACCAAACATATTCGTACCTAGCACGACAACAGTTGAACAGACCTAAGTTTTGACATGGAGTGTCAATGTCAGGTTTCACATACCCTGGCTGCACTGGGATATGGTTGTTACGTTGCCAGCACCATGTTCCTTCTACCTGTTCCAGGCCCCCCATTATCGCGTCTGGAATAATCGCCTGTGCGTAATGGAGTATTAGCCGCACCTGAATATCTCCGTCAGAGGCTGTGAAGAGGTAATCTGATGTAAACACTGAATAAAATATGCACAGGTGATCATCCATCTGTAAGCCTCCTTGTGATACTCTCAGATGGACTTTTGCCTGCCTGGCGAACAATGCTTAGCTGACTCAGAGGTCGCTTTTCGCAAAAATAAGACAACAATAACGGCCGTCGAGGCTACGTACCATGGCAAGTCCGACAGCTTTGTGGATCTTTTTGATGCCGGGATACGCGAGGTGTCATTCCGAATAGTGGACGAGGTCAGATGCCCGGCCACGCGAGAAAGGACATGGATACTCCCCGGGCTGCAGCTCTTGTCGAGCCGGCAAAACCTGACGTCGAATACATCTTCCACTTACTTACTGTTTAGCACAAAACTTTGTAGAGCCTACAAATATTGTTCGTACGTCTCCGGCCACTGCTGTTCGGTGCTGGGGGCTGCTTGTTTCTCCCCCAGCTTGAACGAGGAAGACGCCTTCGCACTGGAGTCTCAAGGGTGGTTGTGGCTGATTTAAGCCAGGACGATCGATTCCGACAGGGCACCTTCGGGTGATAACTGACGCTGGGTGCAACGCAGGAGACGAAAGATGTCGAGACAACACTAGACTATGCGAAGAGCAGCCTTTTATGATAGTCATAGACGCCCACACGCGGTTGACAACATATCTTGTTCCGCGAGGCTTCGAGGCAGACTGCTGCAAACTATTGAAGAGATGGTTAGTGGGCAAAGCTAACTCATTGGCAAGGCTTCTGTTGATGCGGCCGGATGTACGACCAAACGGCCAATTGCCTTGCTCGGCGTCGTAGTTGACCCCGCCAGAGATCGCACAAACACACTCCATAATGCTTGTGCAGAGGCACGTATAACGCTCGCTTACCTAGCCAAAGCCTGGCTATTTACCGCAATGGTGCTCCGCACAACTTTCAATTCGTTTACGAATTCATAGTACAAAGAGAAAGTAAATCAACGGATCCCACTCCGGGAGGGGTTCTATTGAAATCTCTATACTGCACCCTAGTGCTAGGTCCACGTACAAAATCTAGGATGATGACCTCACATGTTTTCGCTGAAAGATATCTGGCAACCTCGGCTACTCTTGGTTGCTTTAGAAATGAAGCTTTGGGGCCGCAAATCCCAGAAGATACACCGGTGGCTCGCAACGCCTCACTGACCTCGTGTAAATTGGAAATAGCACAGGGCAGTCTTCAAAGTCACCGGCAGAGACTACCTTTGTCGATAGCAGACACGACTTTCCACGATACGCCAACCTCCAAGACCTGCATCATGCTAGAAATCCAACAGTAGCACTATATGCAGGTTATGCGATCATGGTCCAAACGAGCAGCTACAAAAGAAATCAAGGTAAGGTACGGAATGGTAACCTTGTCGTCGGCAGCCGCTCGTGTGATACCCGGCTACGACTTATAACTCTTTGAGTGCTCCTTATGCCATGCACAAAATGACATCGATAGGACTGCTTCGTCGGGGAGGGCTTCTGCTATTGAATTTCAATGTGTCAGCGACACGGTGCGGTGTCAGAAAGATCGTCGCTCCGTTGAGATTAACACAATCAGTCCAAGCATGGCGGGGCTGTTCTCTCCGATGCGGGACCCGCGGTGCCAAAGCAAGATTTAATTCCCACTGGCGGCGATGGAACGATGAACCCGTGGTTTCACAGGTGCAGACTGCAGCTCGTCGAAGCAGGCAGGGCAGGGCAGGGCCCCGAACTCATTCTTCTCTCTATTTCTCCTGCCTCCAGGCCAGGCCAGACCAGGCGTCTTCGGTCCACTCCAGAGACCGTTCAGGCTTCAGCGGATTGCATCTGTCCCCCCATCGATAGGATCCCCCAATCTAAGAAAGTTCATGATTTTGGACCCGCCACGGCCTCGGACAGCGTGTCCCGCGCTGTGCTATCCATGCCACCCTGTCCCAGAAGGTCGTTTTGCATGGGAGACAGGAAAGTACCTGTGCCGTACCCTCCGATTTCGTCGCCGTGCTATCATTTATGGATTCGAACGGATATGCATCCACTGGAAAGATTTGAATTGCGGTCCTCGCGCTCGAGCCTCGCGTGGTGGAAGCAGGCGAGAAGGAAGAGAGAAGGCCATCTCCACTTGTTCTGTTCATGCCGATCCCTTGTCGCTGACTATCACTATCAACCAGGATTGGCTTATTTTCTCTTCGAAATCATCACATCATGGGGGGGTAGCCGCTAGTCGGGTCGATTGATCTTGACAGAATCGAGTTCAAGGACGATGTCAAATGTCCGTGACGTCTCGGGCCTGCTAGTGTACACCACGAGGGTTTCGGCGGGGCCGGCGACCCATTCTGATTTCTGAGCCGAGAGCCTGAAAGAGAGAGACAGAAAGAGAGACGGAGAGAGACAACATGGGCAGGATGCGGTCGGAGTCAAAGTGAAGCATGGGGGTATTGCTGGCGGGTACATTGCCATGAGCTACTGCCCAGTGCCCAGAAGCTACCGTTAGAAACCCTCACGCCAACGATAGAGGAGTGACATTCGAGGCCAAAGACTGTTTGGGATGTTTCTAACAAAAGGTACGGACACCATCTGAGCTCAATCTGCCCCTAGATCTCACGAGATTCAGAGTCTGGACTCCGGATAGTATAACCCCGTACGGATACACCTACCCAAGTCGTCAATAGCCAATACCATAATTGACAAGTGGATTCCATTCGGACTCGCCTTACCGCCTCCCCTACAGATCCACCATATATCAAGTTAACTTTACTGGCTTCCGCTCGTCTCGTGTAGACAGATGAACAGACAAGGTTGGTGCTGGTAATGGAGAGGTGTTTTGATGCTTCGCCTGCCTCCCCCTCCCCTTCTCGCCTTTTTGGACATTGCCCACTCCCTTCAAGGTTCCCTGGCCTGGGCTGGTGAGCGTGGGCTGTCGAGGTAGGTATGTACACCTGCACGTGGAGCTTGGAAGTAACTCTACTTTGAACCGTTGAAAGTTTCTGACAAGGCCGCGGCACGGATGATAGCCTGATTAGGTCTCCGGTACGAGTGGCAGTCGACCCTCACAGCACATGCCACAAGTCCCTCGTACCTTGCGCTTCCACCGGGTGCTTGTGTTAGTTCCCTGCATAGTGGAGAATTCCCGTCATTTGACAGCTGCGGCGGGTGCCAAAATGGCGTTTTCCCGACGTCCCCTTGGAATCCTTGGGATCCTTGGGATCTCGCTTGCCCTTCTTCTCTCCACTTTTCCTTCTCGAAAGAGTTCAGAGTTGAAACGGCCGAGCACTCGTTGGTGGCCTCTCCTCTCGACGGGAGTCCCTGGGCTCTGTACTCCTCACTCACGGTCCAGGGCTCAGTCCTTGACTCCTCCTAGCCAGGCTCACACAGCACACCTCGCTGCTCAGGCAGATGCTCCTTGTGGCTCCCGAATACATACCTACGAATACACTATTCGTGTGGGCTCGACCCAACTTGCCAATCACCCACCCACACCCCCTCTCCGCGATCGAAGTTTCGATAATCCTTCTCAGTGCTGCCCTGCTGGTGCTATTACCAAGGGTCACGGAACATCAAACCGATCATCGTCTGCGCCTATTCGTACCTCACCAGCGGGGTTCGATGAAGCGGGCCACCATCTCCAGCTTTGACTCTCTATCCACGCGTCCTTAACAAGCGAGCAGAAAAAAGGCACACGTCCGGCGGTCACTGTCGACTCCGGCATGACAATCAACAGCATTATGCGTATCCGTATGTACGGATACAATGAGACAACCATAGCCGAGTCTTTGACAGGCAAACAAACTGCAATGTACTTGTTGTCTGTCCAGTCATCTGTACGGAGTACATACGCATACAGAATCGCGCTTTAGCCCACACGGACCCCCATATTCGTCTCATTCTCCTCCTGCTCCTCATTATCGTATCGTCGCGATCTATTTTCGGCCTGAGCCCCAACTATTGTATATCACTGGATGTTGCGATTCCGAGCTGAGATTTCAAAATACGTCAGACTAGGAGGGATGCCCGTTTCACTCGAGAATCCGAAATGCCGCGATAATTGCACCCACGCCAACGAGGTAGCAAGAGCCTATTGCGACTCGACATTGCTTCAAGCCTGGCGTCGCAACGGACGTACTGTCTGCCGTCTGCATCTGCGGGTAGTGAAGGCCGGAGAAGGGGGCGTGTTGGAAAAGCGAGCAGCGAGCACCCCAACACATCCACGCCACACCCTGGTCCATCGCCTCTCTGATCTCCTTACCGCATCTTGACTTCATCTGCAGGATTCATGCCGCTTGCTTCCTGCCAAGTTACCTTTGCCCTGGTCTTGCCGCGTACCTACGACCAACCAAGATGAGATCGACGATGCACATCCAGACAGCCCCCCTTGCAATCCTCTTTGTAACCCGCCGTGGGCACGACGTCGCCCAATCCAGCAAGCACATCTCCTTTCGGCAGCCTTGCTCGACCAGTGGCTCTCTTTCTGTCGCGCAATGTGCCTACACCCCCTTTCTCCCCTCTGCATTAACCGTTGTCGCCGCCACCGTTGGTCATCTCGTCTGCAAGAAGCGGAACCAAACCGTCTGGCACACGGGTACGATGTTCGCGGCCACTTCGGTGAGCGTTGCGTCCACTGGCCACCCACTGAGATCGTTTGCTGACACCTCGGCGTCTCTCGCGGGATCTTGCGCGTTTCTCACGATCGCATGCAGGCTTACCACCACTCGATATAAAACGTCAGCCCTGGTCCAAGTCACTCCCTGGCAGGCTACACTGGCGCGGTTCACGATTGACTTTCCGCTCGATACGGGCACTTCAATCCAACCGTTCCTAATCGGAGCTACTGCCTCTTCAGGAAGCCGTCTCCAGCTTATGAGCAAATCACAACTGCCATCATCTTCTGCCTCGCTCCGCTTTATTAGGACATGCGCCAGATCCGGCCATCGCTATCAAAACATCACATCTCAATTCTTTGACTGGGCCGTTTCCGCTGTTTCGACATGGGTTTGCATGCGGGATCTTGATGTACTCCTCAGGTACCCAAAGAGTCACGATCCAGCATCCAGTCTCCCGTGGCGCGGGTTCGTCGATTTCCTGTGATCTTTAACCACGCCGGAGTGCGGAGGGTTTCTCATGAAAACCACATGAAAGCGACATTGACTCCAGTATTACGAGCATCAAAATCTCCTGCAGACCCAGTCCTGTCTTCGAGCTGGTGGTCCAAGATTCGACAGCAGCTCAGTACCGGCCAAACACCCCAGGACCTCATCTCGACGCGACCCATTTGCGTTGCTGCCGCCGGGTATGTCAGATCATGCTCATGTTTGTTTTCTAGCTTCATATGCAGATCCCCATTCTCGAATCCTGGCGCAGGTAAATGGCTGCTATACTCACAACCCAGGAGTGCCGCCTCACCGACCTTGGGTCGATATGCCGGGCCGCTATTCAAAGTCACATTGCAGTTGACGTATGCAGCCACCCACAATACTGATGGAGTAGAGTAGTGGCCGTCGACGTTCCGTCCTTTTGATAAGTTTCGACAGGTTGTCGTCAAAATCTCCGTCCATTGCTCCTGCTCCGAGGTGCTTTGCAGGCGTACATCTGCAGCATGTGATGAGTTGTGGCCAAACCGGGCTTTCAAAGTGCGGCCGCACTTTGCGGTTCAGTCCGTCAACCCCGATTTCTTGGGTGAAAACAAAACAGGAATGCATTGCTGCTTAGCGCTACTCAAGGATGTGTCAGGCACGGTGGCACGTCCCGAGTCCGAGGCGATAGCAGCTAGCTCACGACTCACCATGTGGCTTCAGCTCATGGGCCAGACGACATGCTCACCCCAACCACAAGTCGAAGCGAGGCCACCACTGCTACCCCGTCCGCAGTAGGATCTGAAAGACCCGACCCTTCCATGGAACCCTCACTTCATCATTTCATCAATATGCCGCCGTCTTCGATGCGCTGATACCTGGGTAGGGTGGCATTTCACCATCACTCGATCGTTCGTTCACACCGGCAAAATACGTTCATACTGGTCAGTTGATGATCTGCCGTCCCTGCAATCGGTGACTGCCCATGCAACCATAAGCCGTGTGGTTACGTCGAAGCCCAAAGATCCTGGCGCGAAGATCGTTGCCTATAAGCCTCCACCATACTGCATACAACAGGCGAATGCACCTCGCAGGATGGCGGACGGCCTTGAGATCAACTCAGGTCGGCCGATGCGAAGTTGGAACAATACGGATGCACAACAGCTGTTTCCAATCAACACTGGGTGAAAAGGCGCAACTACCATGTTGTCATCGTCTCTTCATGAGTGGCTAAGCATCCGCGAACCAGTGAAGTTGGACGGAAATTCTTCATCGCAACCACCGCCCCAGGCCCAAGCTGGCCGGTGTGCGACGCCGCATACTTTGGGCCTGGATCATCGACGTACGTAGATTCATCGAACATCTCAAGCAAGAAGCAGCACTATCGGGATGAAGCGCGGACTAGATGCGATGCACCCGGCCCTCGTCACCAGTTCCCTAGGATCTGGCTCTGACATGCCAATTAGGCTTGGCTCATGGTGCGATCGTCTGATCTGGAGATCGGTCTGCCACGCAATCCACACACACGCGCGCGCGCACCATCATCTCGCATTTTCGTCCGGCAAATAAAATGTCACGAACAATACCACTCACCCTTCGGATCGAACGGGGCTAAGGGGATATGGAGCCTGACCGGTGAGAGTGACTGCATCGGCAATAATATCGAACCCCAGCTCTCGGGCGACGGTAGCCAAACACAGGAGGCGGCGGCTCTCTTCGCGACGAAATGGTCCGACTCCTGGGGCACAACTATGGTCTATCGGCATATCGACTCCAGTCATCAGCATGCTCTGGTGCATCTCCAGCTACCAGCGTCTCGTCGGTAGTGTCAGAAGTTGGAAAAGAAATTGTCTAGCGCCCGAAGAGGTCATCAACCCCGCTTCCCGGCCATGTGGTTAACACACTCAGGGCCCTCCCGGTAAGGAGATTAGAGTGGTTGGCGAGACAGGTAGCCCCATGCTCTTCCCAAGTCTCGGCAACGAGATCAGGCCAGAAAGAGCCCGTAGTCGATTGCTCGCCCGTTGAAACAACCCCACGCCGCAAGCCAACGGAAATCTGGTACAGAAACGGCGCTATGCCCGGCCGTTGAGGTGACGTCGACTTGCGCGACTTCAAGACTGCGGACGTACGCACGGCCGGATCTCTGGCAAGACGCTTCCAACAAGAAACGGCTCATGAATCACTTCACACGAGAATGGACCGTTCCTTTACAGTGCGAAAGCCATTCTCGACTCCCGAGAAGAGATCAAACTGTACCTAGCCTTTCGGCCGAGGAACGGCAGCAGGCGTTAGATTGGAACGTCCACACTCTGAATCTTACGACCGTTGGAAAGCAGTTTCCATTCGTGGAATACAACGTTGATTTGTGTGGTTTCACCATCTCACCTGCTTGACAGGATTGCATCCTTTCGTTACCTGTTTTGCCATGTTTAGCGCCAACCGAGTGGCAATGACAACATGAAGCTCCCATTGATCTTGTTAAGCCTGCGTCTCAACAAATCGCGTCCACGGCTCTTGGTTCTGATGCAAAGGGGCGGACGAAGTTAGGCGCACTATACTCACAAGTAGACGCAGACGTTGAGATCCGATTCTACGGCAGTAATCTTCGGAACCGTCTCTTGATTTTACGTGTGACGCTGGCGACACGCTTCGTTTTTTCAGTCCCCGACCCTCTCGACAGCGCCACACTTCACATAATTCAAACTGCTGGCCGCTCCAACAGCGTGTCAGCCAGCAAACCCCGAACCTCGTTTCCTCAACCCCGGCGATTGATCGTGGTGACTGGCAATAAGTCTGGAGTATCTCGTCATACGTCGCACAACGTTACCGACAAGTTTTTGGCCGTCGCACTTCAATGGTTGGCGCCTCTCGGAATCAGACCGTGGCCATGATCCTCCCTGTTTTCTTCCCGGGTCCTTTTCTTATTGCGAACCAACGGCCAATGCTACAACGAATGAATCAAACCTGGCTGGTGCACCAATCGCGAAGGCCCTCTAGCTTACTGTGCGCCCGCTCATGATCCTCGCCGTCGTTCTAGCGCGGGCTTCAAGACAGGCTGGGATTTCACCCATAATCCATAGGGAAGTTGTAAATCTCGAGATTACTCATGTGTAGCAGCGGCACGTGTCTATCAGTACAACGAATCTTCAATTCAGTCACAGGGCAGAATATATGCCACCTGTCACGACGGGTACCGACCCCATGGGTACAGCGGTTATGTTAATATTCCGACTGCCAGTTTCTTTGGCTGATCAGAAAGAAAAGGTGCCTAGCACCAGACCAGTCTGACAATGTGCTTAGCTCCCGCTGTTCAGCCTTACGACGTTGGGGCCGTCCGCAAACCTAGACGACTTAATCTGAGCGACGTTTGCTTGCTTTTTCCTCTGAAGCTCGGTTGTCCAGATCGACCGAGGTGCGCCGTCGTATGATCACGGGAACCGTACACCTTTCATTGGGAGATTTACGGCACAATTGGATGGCTGGCGATCTACATCCAGTCTTTGGCAGGCGCAGGACCGAGGAAACGTCGTATACGAGAAACACTGCAAACAATACGTCTTGCTATCGCTTCTCGAAACCCATTCCACCGTTTCACTGAGATCTCGCTGACGCTCACCAGATGCCATTTTTGCCCTCTATTCCCGTCGCCACCGGGGAACAAATAGCTTTCCAGCCGAACACTATTGTTTGAGATCGAAGTCACAATACGAGGCAAGATCGAGCAGAATCATACAGGGCATTGCCGGATCTGGCCATCTCTGCAGGAGATCCCTTCTTGTCCCTGCTGGCGGCCCTGTATGGGTGGACTGAGACATCCGCGGGTGTTCAGGTGCTGCTGCCAATGAACTGTCAGGACACGTCTCCTCCAAGCTCTTTTTCTCGTTGCTTTTTCTCTCAACCTGAATCACCTGGTCGCGAGCCAAACCATTCTGGTCACGAACCTTCCGCTTTTACATCATGGTTGTGCCGTGTGGGAACGGCAGAAAGAAACGAATCAAGAGCCTTCGTTTTTCTGCAAAGTATGAACACTTAGCGGTTTTGGGTGATTCTATGAGACACTATTGAATGTGTTTTCCACCAACACCAATTCCCCCCACGTTGAAGTCCTTTACCATGGACCGAATTCTTTCTACTCTTTCTCGTTGGTGTCCTTTTTCTCTCACTCGCACTCGTACACACGGAATGCCTCTACCATCCTCACCTCCGTCTCCCCTGTCGTCATTCACACCCTGCGGCATTTCGCAATTCAACATCCGGCTGTTAGTGATGTTGGCGATTTCTTGCACTATTCCACTTAAGGGCAGATTGGAATTGCCAATGAGCCTGGATCGCGGTCTCGAACACAATGGTCACTGCGGCCGTGCTTAGGCACGTTCTTGATGCTGGCGATCTTCTGCCGGGGTCACTGAGCTAGTATCGCCTCAATTCCTTCCCAAAAAAATGTTTCAACCGCTCGTCAGTGACGAAGTCAGTTGTATCCGTACGAAAATACCTGGCATCGCAACCCGTTTCATCGTCCCCGCCTTACCTTATTGCCCTCCGAGACCTTGACTCATTCATCGACTGAAGGGCCCGTTCCCTTTGAACAGGAACACGACGGGTCCCACCGGCGATGAGAAGCTCGGCAGCGTGCTAGTAAAGGAAGATCCACGGCAGTTATTTATGACTTTGCGTTTTACTGCTCGACGGCTTCCGGCGGCTTGGTCCCAGCACAAGGCGGAAATCTCCGAAGCAGAAGTTATTAACAGGCATGCTTCGAAGGCGCCTTGTCTGATACGGTAGCATCTGATGGGGCTGTCAAGGCTCACTGTGACCTATCTCGTCCGCCTCGTGCTCGCCAGGACTCAGTCGTCACAGCTTCCGAGGCGCGGTGGCCGTGGGCTCTTTTTTTCCTAGCCCCGGATTTACTAGGTGACATCGTCTCAGGCACGACACTGAAGAAAGCCACGATGTGGCCTGATATTGGGTATTGCCATCTCGTACCCGAAGTCTCGACCCGATAGTCGCTTGATCAATGACCACGTTGGGTATGGCCAACGAAGAGAAGGTTTCGCGAAAAAAGAATGATCGCCATACGAAGCAACGACCGCGCCTCCGCCCTAGCCACAATTGAACCTAGCGCCTCTGGCATGTGGCAGCGAGCTGGAGGTGTTTCGTGGCCAGGAAAATCAACCAAATAGGTAGGGACTACGAGTCTGGCCTGGCTCGGACTGTTGTGGCCAAGATTGTTTGTTCGATGCGCCAGCCACAGTGCTACGTTGCCAGAGAGGCTGATTCAGGGAGAAAAGGGTCCATGAAGGGAGGGCCCTCGTAGACGTTTTGTTTGTCACGGCTCATCTGAAGCCGGAGCCGAAAGCCGGGGCCCAAAAAGCCGGTTCTCGTCTCGTTTATACGATTTGCAGAAGCACTGGGTTCATCGTCGACACGCATGTACTTCGTAGGTGGTTGTGCGACTGCGCGGCTGCTCCGCACTTTCGTCACCCAACTTGCTCTCGCTTGTTCGGTAGAGTTCCTGGAGGCTGGGGCTTGCATATGTCGGTGATGGCTTCCCTGGGTGTTGGAGGGCTGGCTATCGACTTGTGCAGCGCACACTCACCCGCTCACACGCCCCCCTCCCCCTTCGAATCCACTTCTTCACCGGTCGTCCGTCGTTGGCACGCTCCTGCGTCTCCTACCGGAGGAGGTTTCCTTCCGGGTGGCCTAGTCGCAAGAGCTGCGAAATCCCGGGTGGAGGAGGCGACTTTTGGGCCGCAGGAGCAGCGGCGGCGACGACGGCGGCGGCGCGGATCTTGGCCCTTAGCGGGTAAGTTGACGAGCAGAAGGGGGAAGGGTCGGGGGGTTTAGTGTAGGGTCCCGCATCGGATCTTGCGCATCACTGCATCGATAGACGCGGACCCCGGCCGACGGCTTCATGGGTGAGAGGGTGAGAGCCTGGAAGGGCAGAAAGGGTATTCGTAGAGAGATTGGCCAAGGATCGGCTTTCTGGTTTGTGAGATGCTGCTGATGTTGCTGCTGCTCATGTGGCCCTCAGTACCGTGTTAGACGTCGTTGCTGGGGCGGGCTGTTCCCTTTCGGTATCTCGATTCCGCATATCCTTCCACTGGTTTGACTTGGTTCATCCAAAGATCGACACAGCTCTGATCTGTGGTTTTGTAAGATTGGCGGAGGGGTCCAGATTCCCAAGATGAACACACATTCTTTTTTTTTTTTTTTTTTTTTAATTCGCAAGTGGGAAAACGGGGGAGGTGTCACAAGTGGTTAGCCAAGCATATCTTCCCCCCGGTCCCCTTTATTTTTTGGGACAGCGCCGCACGAGTACATTTCCAGATCCGGACGAAGCTTCGATTTATTGGGACGACCCTCGAGTCCCTCCAGATCGATGTTTCGAAACCTTGGCCATCATCATCACGACGCGTTCTTGAAGGGGCATGAGGGGCTGGGGTTGGTAAGGGGGTTTTGATGGTAGATATGGGGGTGGGAGAGGGCGTTATTCATTTGGGGGCCCTTGGCCCCCTTCCTCCAGGCTTCCCCTGCTCTCTGTCTCTCGGATGGGACTACCAATGGAAGGATCTGAAGGGGTTCATTCTTGCGTGTATGTATTCTTGATTTTCTTTCTGGGAAGTGGTCTTGGATTTCTGGAGAGATGGATGAGACACGGGTTGCTTGCCGTATTCGTGGGGTGTTTGCTTATTCTACGGGAAAGAGAGGACTGTAGGTAAGTAGGTCATAGGGCCTCGTCCGTTTTTTTTTTTTTTTTTTTTTTTAATGTTTCGTGCTTTTTTTTCCTTTCAGGGGTTTGAGAAAGGATTTCGATGTACCTTACGCAGTATACGCAGTAGTACTAGGTAGTTTAAGGTCGTTGTTGCTTTTTCTTAGACGGGTTGGTGATGTGCGCCGCCCTGTGCCTCCTTAGTCAAGTCTGACAAGTCAAACTTCTTTTTGGTCCTGACAGGACGCAGTGCAGCCAGTGGGTCTTTTCCCCCTACCATGCCTTTCTTTATTTATTTTTTTTCTGGCTTTACGCAATAGGTACATCCAACCCCCTTTTTTCCCGGGCGATGAAGGCCGAGATGATTGCACCGACCGATCGCCCGGCGGCGCAAACACGGGGGGCGGTACCTAGCTCACAGGAACGAAGCCGGGGGGTGCGGCTGGCTGGCAGTTGGGGCGGGCGGGCGAGCCACGAGCCTAGGTTCTATCCGTACCGTTGTCTGGCATGTGGTGAGGTGTCGTTCTCTTATAATTTTGGTTTTATTTTGTTCTTTCTTTAGTTTTTTCTAGGTGTAACTGTTGGTGGGCTAGGCAGGTAAGGCGGGGCGGCCGGGGGTCGGTCCTGGGAGGGGTTCGGTGATGCGCTTTTCCTTGAGTTTGCCCTTGTCCGCTTGTTCATGTGAAGCTACGCTAGATGATGCGGGCTGAGGACGGTTGCGTCGATCGACGATCCTTGCCTGGGAGGTCTCGAGGGGGGAGGGTGGGAAAGAGGAAAAGAGGAACTGTTACTGGCTGGTTGGTTTGGAAAACTTGGGATATTTCGTGCCATTGCTGTGGACGTGATGGGCGGGAGAGAGAGGGGGGGGGGAGTGAGTGGACATGCGGGAAGTTTTTTCTTTGGTTCGACCGAGTTGCGGTTGCCGTAGGATGGAGGGGGGTTACAAGGTGTTACTAGGGCTGGCTCGGCATAATTCCTTTTTCCCAGCTTTTCCCATGGATGATGGGTGCTGCAGCCTGCGGGTTTTTGTGGATGTTGTATAAGAAGCGTTCAGACGTTTCTTGAGAGGTGAGAGAGGTGAGTGTGTGGAGTCCGTGGGATGCAAAGGGCTTGCTTTGGATATTTGCTTTTTTTTACTATTTGGGTATAGACGCCGCTGCGGAAGGACGGTAGGCGGAGGTGAGGGAGAGTGGGGATTTCGTCTTTGTCCGAGGGGGTGTGTGTTGTGCAGCGTTGAGATGTAGTAGATGATTTGGATACAGAGAGAAAGGGACACTGTTGAGCTTCATTCCTTTCTCTGAAAGCATCTCAAGAATCATGAATGGAAGCATGTTGGTCGAAACCTGCGATTTGGGAATATAAGAGTTAATGGGAGTGTGGGTTTGGATTACCCATCTACTAAGCTAGTATCGACGAGATCTGTCTACCCACCCTGGCGTCGTGCCTGTACTTCATTCTGACAGGCTGCTGCTCTGCTCTGCTCCACCGGTGCGATGCCGAATGCGATGCGCGCAAGGCACGCACGGGGAGGAGTTGTCCCGGCAGGCGGAAAGAACAATAAAGAGGGGAAGTTGAGGTGCTGCGCGGGCTCGGGGACCGGCCGATGGTAACTCGGTGTGAGACTTGCAGGTTCAGGGACCGGGGACCGGGCGGGGGTATCGGGGAGAGAGAGCCGTGGCACGGTCACGGCGCTGCGCTGCGCTCAGGGAGAGGTTCCAGTGTGGCGTGGGCGCGCGGCAGATCTTCGGTCAGCTCGAGAGCACAGAAGGAGAGGTGGCGGCCGGAGATACCGGGTGCCGAGAAGTTGTTCCACGGCATAATTAAAGGATCTGGTACTGAGGAATGTTGAAAACGCTGGTAGACTAGAGAGCTAGTGTCGTTGGATGTAGGGAAGAACGTTTGTTAAAGGAGGGCCGGTGCGAGGCGCGCCGGGAGGGCGGCGGTCCGGCTTGGCCCCCGCCTGCTTTTTGGGAGGGTCCGTGGTCTGGACCTGTCTCTTTGAGGTGTGTCATGCGGGCTTGTTGGCAGCGGCAGACAGAGACTCAGAGACTCGGAGACTCAGACAGCGCCAGCAGCCCTGCTGAGATGGAATGACGGAGGTCTGGAGTCTCTGAGTCCCCTTTTTCTGGAGGGGATCATCGAGAGCTGCAAGCTTGAGCTGTGGCACATGTACTTTGTAGCCTAGTTATATACGTACGGATACATTACCTTGATCACGCATCTGGTAGGGAGCGATGGCGGGTATTACCTATTGCAGGCAAGGGAGGTAAAGCGGGATCTCTGGCGCTGACGTAGGAATCAGAATGGAGGCCGGGGGTCGTTCAGCATATACTTGCTTTTTCCCGACTTTTGGTTTCGTTTCCTGATCCCACAACCCTATGCACGAAATGGATAAGATGAGCAACAGGGTAGCTAGTTAGGGGATAGATAGAAAGAAAACGGGCACGACGGGGAAAGCTGGCTTGTGGGAGCCTCTCTAAGCCGAGACAACAAAACAAGAGATGATGATCGAGGTGAAGATCTTGTGATGGAACTGGTTAGAGCCTCGTCGGCGCAGCCTTTTTTGTCTTGAATTCTTGATAGGGTTGGGTGTCTTTGCGTATCCAAGGTACGCGGTCTCTAATTTCAGACAATCAGCTCCCAAGACGTTTTGTTTCTGAAGCCGCATTCAGAATTGACCTGCCTATCGCGGTATGGAGGGCGACGGATGGTTATCGACCTCGACTCCGTTTTGGGATATGAGATGTGCAACAGGGAGGCTTTAGTCCGAAGGGCTTAGCGTTTTGTAGTTGAATAGTCAGGGCACATAAGGGTAGAGGCAAGCACGGCAAGTGAGGATAGGGCTGAGAAAGTTGTGGGCTTCTTTGTGTGCCTGAGTAAGCGTTGCCATAACGTCTTTTCTTTTCCTGTCCATCTCTCTTACCTGACTTCGGACTAGGTTCGGCTCTTGCGAGAGCTTGGCCTTGACTTTGATGGGGGTCTAGCGTGGACTGGGTACGCGAGAGGTTTCCAAAACTGGATAATGGGATTCCTTTGGGAGGAATCGAAGGATGATGGAGGTTGCCTAAGAACTAGTCATGATAGTCCTTGCAAGGGAGAAGCAAAGGGATGGGTACTGTGGGAGGAGCTCCTAGCAGAGCGGGGGAGCCAAGAGTGGCTGTTTTCAGGTGGCGCATTGCGGGCTTAGCGTTACATATTCTAGAAACTCGATCCCATGGATATAGAGGCGTCCGAAGCGTTTATGAGATGTGATGGTTGAAGTATGGAAGCTAAGAAGATGCGGAAGGAAGGGAAGAATGATTAAGATATGGTTACAGTGGCTCTGTGGAAACCGGCTAGATGCGGTAGATGGCGAATATGGTGGGGGGCGTTGAAGGCAGGGAATATTGAAAGAAATGCTCGGTAATTGGATATATCCAAGTCAACAAGGTACCTGTTGTAACTTTGCTAGTTGGTATACGTTGAGTGGGACTTTGGTAGAGGAATCGAGACATGTGGCTTGATGGTGGAATTGACGTGTCAAGGAGGCAGAGTCACAACACGTGGTATACTGACAACGCCTTGAACTCTCTCTTATCTGATGTGATCTGGATGTATCACGTGAACTTGAGTAGATTGAGCGGATTTGACCATAGTTGCAGTGAAGTTCTGGTCTACATGAATCATGATTATCGTGTAGAAGCTATGAAACTTCAAGTCGTGTGGGGTGCATTATCCTAGGCGCCAAGTGAAAACTCTTGTCGAAAAATGAGGGCAGTTCTTGCATAACCTAATGCAAGATGTCCCGGTAATGAAAAGCTAGAGTTCATGATTCAATGTAGTGCTTATCAACTTGAGCAGGCTATAGGAGTGATATGATTGTCCTGCTATCTTGACAATCTGTCAGAAATAGTCTCTGAACCGCTTTGTTTATATAGAAACTAAACATCTTGATTTAGTATCACGTTAAAATATTTGACATTGGCTTGCAAATCAAGTTCCACACCTTAGCGAAACGCACTTTCGGTCTCTCAAGCAGCCGGTCAAGTGTGGCCATGGCCACGGCCGACCATTCGCACGGCCTGTGCTAAATCTCCTCCAGCAGCCAATCCTCGAGCAGCCCCTCTTCGAAAAATGATGCAGGACGTGATGCAGAAAAGCATCTCCTGAGGAAGATGTCCGCACTCTGCTGTGAATAAAGTCAGCTGGTGCTTGAATCAATATCAGACATCGGTTCGCAGGGTGTTGCACCGGTCGGGGATGGTGTTGAGATGGCAGTGCCAGAAAGCAACATCCCGAGGAGCTGGGATATCAGGGCATCAGTATCAGTCCGGCGGCACAAATGAGACAAAGACTGGAGGCAACACTTACTACAGGAGTGGGTCTCATGGTGTTAATCTGGCGGAAAGGACCGAGGAGTTTGACGTTGAGAGGTGAACGGCTATCTGGCTTCGTGAAAGGGATTATGCCTTCGGTTCTTGATAGTGTGTGGTTGAATGAAGCTGCCTTTCTTGTGTACCCCGCCAAGTCTAGGTTGATAGAATATAAGTAGAAGGAAGACAATCATTCCGTAACGTCTCGAATCTCGCTCGACATTTATATCTAGGACCGCTAAAGTGAGTTTGGCTCCAACCTTCTCAAAAAGACTTTGGAGTACTTGGCATCGATCCGTGGTATTGTTGATTACGGGAACTTCCCGGGAATGCTCGTGGTTCATCCTGCCGCTAAGCCGGGTGCTTACCCTGCAGTAGCAGCACCCAAGATGAAGTCAGTTGCCCGGCTGGAGAGGAGGTTGGCTAACCAATCGCACTGCATTTCTCTTTAGATAACTAAGGATTGCGTACAACGATGGCCTCAGAATTCGTAACATGGAGTATGTTCTTTGGGGAGAAGAGGGCTGTGTTCCTTTCTGAGAGACACTCTGTTTGGTTGTGTTCCACTTTCGGGCGACTAAATTGCGGCTCACCATCATAGCCTACATGCACCGCGGGAGATGAAATATCGTCAGGCCATTGTTGTATACGTATTGCGCGCTTGGAACCAATACCGATGACATTGCATGAAACTCGAGAAATGCTCAGCGATACGTTGAAGAAAACGGCCCTGAAGCTTGGTCTCATTTATAATTTCAGTTTTGATTGGGCTCGTGGATGGCCTACGGACAAGATGTTCTTCGAATCTGGCCGTACTTTACCTCACCAGTATTGTGTAGACCGTGTAACAGGTCTGCTCGCGGGATACCCTCCGTCTTAGATGGAGGTGGACGGCCAGGACAAAATAGACGTTGACCATCTTGCCATCAAGATTGAGATTAGTACACCGTGATGAAGAGACTGTTCAGGTAGAATTATTTTGGCGTCAACACCAAAATTATAATGAGCTTGAAGTCCGTGTTGATGATGTAAGGATCCAAAGATTTGAATTGATCTACTTCATTCCATGCTTCATGATGTAGCACATGGTCAAAATCCCTTGTCCGGACTATTAGAACCAAGGAGAGAGATCACGGATCGCTATACGCGAGACATGAAAGAGTATGTTAAGCTCAGAGATGCCACACGAATCGGGCATAAGCCTAGATGGTAGGGAGGTTGAAGTTGAATTTGAATTTGAAATTTGAATTTGAAGTTGCAGTCAAGTTTAGTAGTCTATGGGGATGTAACGTACCCAATGAGGGGAATTCCCGCTGCTACCAATCTTACCAAACCTACTCGGTCAAATGTTGCTTACAAGTATGATCATGAAGTGACACCTTGGAAAGGGTGTTTCTCATGCTATGGTTCGGAATTACGATCGGACCTCTTCAAGGCCATCCTGTCCAATTCTTCGTCATGACGTTAGCGGCTTTGTGGCTGCGGGCCAGCTTCGGCATTCTTGCCCGCTTACGGCCGAACACGCATGTGATATGTCCGCTTACGTCCGTCTCCAGAAGTCAACTTCACCTCAGCACCAGGACGGCCCATCTGGCTCATCCGCTGCTTCCCCTTCCACCCCAAGTCTGCCTGCAATCGCCATAGGCCCGAGACGTTTGAACCGTAATCAACTGTTCAGACATGGAGCGACAAACCCGTCGACGGCGCAGACCCGCTCTGTCATGCCTAGAATGCAGACGCCGAAAGATCAAGTGTGATCGCGACGAGCCATGTGGGCATTGTACTGCATCAAAACTCCGTTGCACCTACCGAGTATTCGGAAGTGAACCGGCAACTCGGCCAACGGTGCAACAAGCTGTTCAGCCAATGCAGTCAATTCACATGATATCGCCCCTGTCACAGGCTCCCACTGTTGTTCCGGCACATGAGTCCACAAACGATGCCAATGCCATCTCTGAGCCTGGACCGGCGCATTCTCGTCGTCGCGAGGCCAGTATTGGCGATGATGTCAGTGAAGAGGTCGTCGTATCTGGAAACATGGCTCAAGCTTCAGCTGCCGAGCCCGCTCTCAGAGATCTCCTACACCGCGTCCAGAGATTGGAAGAAGTTCAAGTATCTGCTGTTACGGCACGACGAAGCCGATCCGAAGTTCCCCAGCAAATGATGGGGAAGGATACAGATTCACGCGTAGTGTTGAAGAAGTCAAGAGTCTGGCGATGGAGTGATTGGATGGGTGAAGCTTCCGAAGTATGTTCTTTGGCTGTGATGGTTGCTAGCAAGGTGCCCACAGCTAACATTTGAACAGTTTGACAGATTATTGGACTGCTATACAAGTTACGTCAAGGCTGCTGCAAATGAGAGCCATACTCCATTTCCAGATGCCGAAACTGAGGCCATGGCTATAGAGGCCGGAACCTTACTACGGAACTGCAAAGACCTAGCGAGGAGCATCAAAAGTTGGCGACCCAGCAGAAGCTTTGGCAACTCTGGAGTCAACCTGGCGGCGCCATCTCGTGAGGTAGCCGATACAATGGTAGATCATTACCTGGATTCATTCGAATCAACCTACCGCATATTACACAAGCCTACCTTCAAGGCGGAATATCAGCGGTTTTGGGATGACCCAGCTAGCGTCAAAACCGATTCGCGCCTCAAGATACTTCTCGTCATCGCGATTGGGTCAAGCTTACATGACACTGAATTAGTCGAGCCAGGATTTAAACGCCTGGCTCATCAGTGGATTTACGCTGCCCAGGCTTGGCTTTCCGGGCCCCTGGAAAAGGATCGATTGGGTATCAACGGCGTCCAGATTCACTGCTTGACCATCTTTGCACGGCATATATTATCGATTGGAGGCGATCTGGTATGGATTTCCACAGGAACACTTATCCATACAGCCATGCAGATCGGCTTGCACCGTGATCCAAGCCATTTATCGTCAATGTCGACGTTGCAAGCAGAGATCCGAAGAAGAATCTGGTCGACCATCTTGGAGTTAGTAATTCAGTCATCCTTAGATGCGGCAATGCCTCCCAGGATCTCTTTCGATGAGTTTGATACTCAACCGCCTGCAAACATCAATGACGACGAACTAGAAGAGTCGCGAACGGAGCTAAGATCACATCCGAGGAGCACTTACACGGATATGTCGCTACATCTTCAGCTCAGAGACTCTCTCTTGAGCCGGCTTCGAGTTGTTCAGTTGCTCAATGGGATACACCATGAGTTGTCTTATCACGTCGCACTGGAGCTGAGCTCGGAGATCACTCATGCCTGCAGGACCAACATCCACTTCGTAAGGCAGCACGAACGATCCGGAGTCTCTGTTTTCCACCAAAACTTACTCGATTTTCTCGTGCGTCGCTTCCTGATTCCCTTGCACTGCCCGTTCGCGAGCCAGGCACAGACAAACCCCCTGTTCCAGTACTCGACGAAGGCGACACTTGACGCCACAATCACGATCCTGTCACCTGTGCCGGACGACAAGTTCTCTCGTCTATTCAAAATCGCGGGAGGCATGTTCCGCGAAGGCTACAGGTACGCACTTGCTACCGTAAGCCACGAGTACATCGCTCAAGCAGAGACGCAGCATCGTGATGGAACGCTGCAACGCAACGTCCAACAGAGAGAATTTCTGAAGAAAACAATGATGGAGTTGATAGAGATAGCGGCAGAAAGAGTAAGGTACGGAGGCGAGACAAATATCAAAGGTCACATGTTTCTCAAAATGATTGTGGCACAAATAGAAGCCATGGAAATGGGTATCCCAGGAGATTTGGAGATTGCGAAGAGCGCGAAGGAAAGTCTAGAATACTGCCACACCTTGCTCGAGGGTCAAGCAAGCACTGTGACGCCATGCTCAACGGCCGATGCAGATTTTGCATCCTCTGGGCTTGACCACGAACAGGGAGGCTTTGGATTTGACTGGGACTTTGACTTTTTTCTACCCGAAGGAGATTTTTAAAGTTCATTCAATTTGAAAGTTGAAAAGAAATCTCCGCAAAATTCGATTGAAAAGTCTGATTACTATTTCAATTTTCTTTGCAGCTACAGTTTGACTAGTGACTGAACGTTCCTGCTACTTGGCACAGCCGTTTGACAGTCCCCATATCGGACCTTGGCCTTTGACCGAGAGTATCTACAGCTCGATCCATCGGCATTAGCTGACTTGTTGTCAAAGAAAGGGCGTTCGCAGTGGTTCGGCCGAGGCGGCTAAGACACGGACATAACAGCTCATTCATACGAGTGTGACTCCTCGCCACCTTGATTGATTAAAGTACTTAAGTGTGGTGACAGAATCACCTAACATCTCTTCTCATATCGATTAAAACACGATATAAGACATTTGCTTCATTTCTCCGCCCTAGGTACTCCTCACTATCCTTATACTTAATCACGACGTTCAATCAAACATGCCTTCTCCTTTGAAGATTCTTATCAGCGGCGGTGGAATCGCTGGAGGCTGCCTCGCCTTCTGGCTAGTCAAACTCGGCCATGATGTTACCGTGGTGGAATGGTTCCCTACTCTCCGCGCTACAGGACTTCAAATCGACCTCCGAGGACACGGCATTGAAGTCTTGAAGCGTATGGGCCTTGAAGAGGGATTCCGCGCCAAATCGGTTCCTGAGCAAGGCCTCCAGTTTGTCGATAGTTCCGGCCGAAGGCGAGGCCACTTCCCGGTGAATCATTCGGGAAGTGGAGCGCAAAACTTTACCTCCGAGTATGAGATCATGAGAGGAGATCTGTGCCATCTCTTCTACGATGCCACCAAGGGCCGTGCCAAGTATATCTTTGGCACTTCCGTGGAAAGCTTCGACCAGAAGAACGGCGGCGTAGACGTACGCTTCAAGGACGGCAAGACGGAACATTTCAATCTATTGGTCGGTGCCGACGGCCAAGGATCACGTACGCGCAAGATGATGCTAAAGTCCGAAGCCTCTGACGGCTTTTACCCGCTCAGGGGTATTCACGCCTCTTACTTCACAATACCCCGACCTATAGAGAAGGGTGAAGAGTACTATTCGACGGCTTATTTCGCGACCAACAGCCGGATTGTAATGACTCGACGACACAGTCCAGAAGCGATCCAGGCGTACACTTTCTTCACATCTCATGACGAAGAATTCCAGAACGCTCGACAAACCCACGGAAAGGAAGTAAAGCATGTTGTTGCCAATGCGTTCAAGGGCGCAGGATGGCAAGTGGACTACTTCCTGGACGCGATGATGGACTCCCAAGACTTTTACTGCGAGCAAATCGGCTTGGTCAAGATTGACCACTGGTCCGAGGGACATGTCGCTCTTGTCGGAGACGCGGCGTACGGACCATCCTCCATGACGGGTATGGGCACAACTTCGGCAATTGTCGGCGCCTACGTCTTGGCTGGAGAGATCGGTAGACACTGCGGATCTGAACGCGGCCAAGATGGCATTGAAACGGCTCTACACGAGTACGAAAGAAAGATGCGGCCTTTCATGGATCAAGTGCAGGAGGGCATCACAGATGACGCTTTTGTTTATAAGCTGTGGCCGACGGGACCCATTGGGATGACAATCTTGTACTGGATTATTGGAATTGTTTCTTTCTTCCACATGAACCTTGGGAAGTGGGTTCTGAAGGAGAGCGCGGTGAAGTGGAACTTGCCGGACTACAAGGAGTTGCTACTTTGACGAGACTTGCCTCAGTATTGAGGAGGAAGGCACGGGAAAATAGCAGAGCATTCATTTACATCTGTACATTATGAGACGAAACACAGCTCTGAAAAAACCTCTATGATTCAACGACAACTAATATGAGGCAATATGTACGGGCTTTTCAATATGTGAAGAGGTTTCAAGACCCTCGTGAAGTATTTACAAGATGGATGAACGAGAGATAGTATCTGTACATGCAGCTTTGCTTGGCAGTCTAGTTGTTGAAGGTATGTGTGTGGATGTTGATAGTATCAACCTTCCAGGTCTTGCCGTTGTCGGAAGTGGTAAGCCCAGACGAGTCGGCCTCGTTGAGACCGAGGGTCTTGCCGAAGGTATTATCGGCGGCGTTGAGTATGATGGTCGTACCTGTGTACTCTGTGAATGACAAGGTTAGTGAACCATGAAGCGAACAAATCATCACAGGGAGCACTTACTGTGAGCAACAACCGTACCGACACAAGCATCGTCTTGGCATTCAACAGCAGTACCCCAGCCCTCGGCGTTTCCAGAGCCTTTGCATTGTGAGCATTCATCCTAGTACATTGACATCGCCTAAGCCTTTGAGTTTTACTTACTCGTTGAAAGAGTCGACACTACCTTGCCGTTGAGAGAGACGGTCTGATCATACTTGCCGGTGCTGTCGTTGTATTTGTCTGTGTTATGGAGTCAGCTTCGATTCATGATAAAACCCAAATCTGATGACTTACAGTGCATGGTGAGCTTGTCACCGGCAGAAGCAGGAACTTGCGTGCCTCCGAGCTGCTCTCCTTGAAGAGTGCTGGCCCAAGTGCACCACTGACCGACGCTAGCACCGCAGTTCCTATGGAACTTGTCAGCTCGTGACTTTGCCTTCTGATAGAATATACAAGTGATTACGCCTTGGGATCGCTGAAGGAGACAGCAAGAGCCTGGATAAGGTCACCGCCGCTGGTACCCATGCCGGGCCAAAGAGCAAGACGATCCTTTTGGGGACTAGGCACGGGAGGAAGAACGAGAGTCGTAGTCGCCTCACGGATCCAAGACTGAGTGGGACCGAGGGAGAATGCTGGTCCAAACCCGACCTTATCCTGAGCGCTCACCATATTGGCGGCAGCGAGGAGAGCAGCTGCAGCGACGTTACGCATGTTGACGGATATTTGGAGCGAGTGACTGAAGGCAGCAAGGGTATGCAGTCGAAAAAGATCGAAATCCGGAGTGAAGCAATGTCGAGGGTTAACGTAGACTGGAGTCTTAGGAATGGAACGACGACGGCAAGAAGCGCCAAGTACTCTTGGCAACGAGTGTAGGATTTATATGGAAGGCTGCTCATCGTTCTAGACTGCTTCGATTCATCCTAGTTGATGCCCCCTTTACCCGTCCGGCATGTTTCTGCCGTATTCAGTCTCCCAATTAGCCTGCTACCTCCCCCGAGAGGACCAGTCACAAAACAGCCCAGTGGTGGACAAACAATTTCCGCGATGGGTTGTGAAGGCTGCGCCAGGGTCCACGCGACCTGGCCAGATGGTTGAAGGAATAATCCAAGCGAGAAACCCATTCTCATTTGGTAACCCCAATGGGGTCGACAAGGACAAGGCATCATGCTTACTACCATCAACCTCTTAGGCTCTGCAACCTTAACCTTCCCAAAAGAGGGTTGCATTCCCTCGGAACCATCACTAGCATGGCAAGACGCTCAACCACTAAGCAAGAGCGCGACAAGACCAACGGAGAAGCGTGCAGACGGCAGACAAGCCCAGAAGGAAGTACATGACTTCAAGCGTAGACTCGTCGATAGTGACAATGCAAGTGGAGTTTCGTATTCAACGTGCCACTTTTTGGATCCCCTTCAAGTGTGAAGAGACAAGATTGGAGACCCCCTGTCTGAGGATCGTCCGTTGAACCATTGCTTGGCCCTGCGAGCCGCAACTAGATTGAAATCCCCACATCGTCTTTTTCAGAGTCGCGATTAGTGATCGGGTAGACGGGTTTCGGCACTCAAGTGCCACAGTCCTCGATGCATTACTGGACTCGTTCCGTTTTCCGAATCCATAAATTCCTGGACTCATTAACGAATTATGAATGAGGGTTTCGGCTACCAAAATCAGGCGCAAGACACTTCACACGACGTCATGAATGCACTGATAAAGAGAGCGAGGGTGGCTTCGAAGTGCCTCAAGCTCAGGTTTCTCGGAGCAGTTATATTCTGAGCGGAAGCTCTTCACGAAGCTTCACACAACTTGCAATTCATGAGGGGTTTAGGGGAGGGGCGCGTGTTGAGCCCCTTGTCAAGTTGTCTTGGGGTTCCTCTGACGGCATACCGATGGTGCGCTTGAAACGGTGTAGCCACTCAAGATTGTCTGCCGAGGTCTGATTCCAAGGGTCGCCGCTAAATCAGTCAGACTTCAATAATCCCTTACAAGAGAAGACGAGGAGACAGAACTTACTCTTCATAAACAATGAATCGCGCTTGGTGCTGAATCTCATGGTCCGACGGAACGTGACTGTTCGGGTTGTTGGGAGACATGGTTGCTGCGATCCAGCGTCGTAGCTCGAGAGCAAGCCACCGATTGAAATTGGAGTCATTGAAAAACGCATAGTTTCGTTTGACTGTTGAAAACTGCGGGTGTGCGCTGCGGCCATCTGGTCCAGTGCTTCCGGGTCTCTGCCAGTCGGGAGTATTCGAGACTAGAGGCGACACGGGTGAAGCTTGGGCGACATCGCTTGCTGGAGAAGCGTCCTGGGTAGTAGGTTCTTGTAGCAATGGTGGAAGAACGTCACTTCCTGTATCCTGCAGCCAAGCGCGTTGATTCGGCATGGCTAGATTCCTCCAGAGTCCTCTGTCAAACGGAACACCTTGGAGTTGAAATGGAATCGGGGGCTCGAAAGGCTCATTTGCAGCAGCTCTTCCGTTCATGAGATCTCCGAGCCCTACTTGTTGGTCTTTCTCAGAAAGTCGTAGTGGAGGTAGAGCACTTGAGCTTTCGTGTTGAAGAAGACGTGTTCTCGAGCGAAACGCGGTAAGCCAGCCAGTTGATGAGCTGATGAGGTTGACTAGCCAGTTGACAACCAAGTCGGCCGGAGACATTCCCCAACTCTTGCCTAGACGTGTGACTATCTTACAAGCCTCGTTCTGTAGTTCTTGGTTGTTGAGAACATTGGGTCCAAGTAGCCTGTGCTTATCAACAAAGGCATCAAGCTGCAATTCACAGGGGCATTCATCAAACAGACTGCGCTTTCCTTTGATCTGAAGAACAGACATCATGCTTTCGGCTGGCGATCTTATCGGCCCAAATCGAGCCTCTCGAGTGAGGTCTTCTGACGAGGTAATCAAATCTCGCAGCCACGACTCGGGTTTCGCACCCTTTTCAACTTCCGGGGATGAGACTTCCGATGCAAAGACGATTCGGCAAGCCTCGAATTGGATTTCTCTGTTGTTGGGCAAGTTTCCTGTTCTGTCGAAAAATAGTCGTAGAAAATGATTGAGTTCCAGCGTGAGCAACTCATAGGCGCTACGGGGCGACTCGGGAGGCACGCCGCTTGCTTGATAGGGGAACGGCGAGAATCTTTCATATTCGATGAGATCTGGAAGGCGCATTAGTCCGGGCATCCGCGAAACAGTTTTGGGTTCTCTTACAAGGTGGTACAGAGTTCTCAACCATATCCAGAACTGCATCGTTGAAGCCCCAATCTCCTTTCCAACTCGCCATGTCGGAACCCATCTTGAAATGATCCGCGAGATGGTCAGCTCTGACACCCCAAGTATCGAGAGATGCACCGCAGAAGCCGCAACGAGACTCGATTTCTGGAATGGTAATTTTCCAGATTTTAGCCGACCAGTCGAGAAGGCCAGCATTGTGTACCAAACGCAAGTGCTGTTTTAAGTGATCCTTTCTGTTGAACGTTCGTTCCTGACAAGATGAGGGATTGTGGCTGTCGATGTGCGATTGAGTAGGCTCGGTTTCTCCACAGAAGACACAACATATTTGGCCTGTGTCAGGATTGACGGCCCGAGGCCCTTTAGGCGAGCAAACCCATCTTTCGAGGGGCATATGGAGAGACTTTTCGTGTCGCTGCCAGTCGTGTTTCGTTCTAAATGTCTCTGTACAGAATGTGCACTGGTACTGGTTCCGAGGATGTGCAAGAGAAGTTCGCTTTGGACGTCTACGTTGCCGTGCTCGACTACGAACAGCGGGACGCGGAAGGGAAGCAGAGTCTTTGGAAGCATGGGAGAAGGCAGAAGCAAATGAGCCGCCACTCGAGGTTCCAGCGCTACTAGCTGACGAGGTGTGATAAAGGGACCGTGCTGGCTCATCGGTGAAGCTAGCATTGAAGCTGTCGTCTGCGACTACAAGGGATCAGCTTTGAGATACCCCCCCGACATTTGACACTCACACAATGGAGGGCCGTTCATAAAGTATAAAACTTACCTGATGATCCTGCATGGGTAGATGCTACGGCACGTGCAATGTCGCCAACAGTAGCAGGCTCGTGTTCTGGAGGAGAGTCGACCCATCTCTCGAGCGGGTTCAACCCCTGATAGTGAGGGCTGCTTCTAGGAGCTGGTGTTCCTGGCCTCGCGGGGACATCTATAGGTCTTGTCCCAGTACCAGAGTTTCCCGAGTATGGTGACGTAGATCGATGACGGCCTTGTACTTTTCCGCGACGACGAGCGTTGATCAACCAGTTAGTGATTTGGATCTTACTGAGGCCCGTTTGGTGCTGGAGGATTTTCTTTTGTTCGTCGTTTGGATAAGGATGGTGGCTGTGGGAGGAGAGCCATTGTCTCAAGATTCGAGTTGAGTCGCGAGAGAATCTCGTGCCAATCTTGGGTGGAGGAGGAGTCGATGTAGTGGAAACGTTGAGTGGCTCGAACGAGCCGCTTGATCTCTTTGAAGTCTCTGGTGTCGGGAGGTGCTGAACATCGGTTGCAACAGTCCGGCTGTCGGTCATGAGGTTGTTGAAAACATCTCCAGTGAAGTTCGGCGTGGTTTCTAAGAAAGTACAGTTGCATCCGAGAGAAACGCAAGATATACAGCGGTCTTGAGGTTCGGGTTGTTGTGGGAGCTGGCATTGGTAGCCCCATGCGGTGCAGTTGGCACAAGATGTCGAGGGTGTCGTCCATCCACTTTCGAAATTATCGCTGATGTAGTCAAGGGATCCGTCAAAAACGAACGGGGAGCTTTCACCGCTAAATTGTTCAACGGGCGTGAAACATAGAGCTTCGTCGACGGCGAGGTTCTCGATAGCGAGATTGGCCCTGGGCTCCTGTGGCAGGGAAATTTCGGCGAGGTTCACGAATTGGTTTACAGTCGAAGAAGTAGCTTCATCCGAGTTATCCATCCTGTCGAGTCTCAATTCCACCACCGTAGCCACAGCAATAATCTCCCGGCCTTAATCTGGGGAAGCAGTAAGGCTTGTCAAGGATGTCAAAGCCCCTGCCAAAGATCGGGCTGGTAGGGCGTGATCGAATCGATAAGGCGTATCAAGATATGAAGAAATAATGTCAAACGTGAATTGTGTATTGGTGTTCCCTCAGGGGAGTCATTCGACTTGGACTTTGTTTTGCTCAAGAGTGGAAGAGTCGTCGGAAGTCTATTCGCACTTTCATGCGTTGGAATGACACGGGATCCACCAAAGCACTCTCGATGATTGGCCCGACGTCGGATGTGTCAAGTGCGCCTTACACTAGAAACGCGATGGCCGGACCCATCGACTAATGGCAAGCTTGTTCAACGTGAAGTCTAGGTCCGAACCCGGACCACAGGCCTTCGCGTGCGGTTGAACTCAATTGCGGTGAATGTGGTTACTGAAAATAAGTCGTGTCACTTCAACTCTTAGGTACGTTGAAAACTGCCACATGGGGTTTATAGCTTCAGCTTCTCTGTCATCTCATGAAATGATGTTAGAGTTCGAGAGTCACTGATGATTTTCAAAACACAAATGATTGAAAGTTGGCAAATCGAGAAGCGAGAAAAAGTCTCCGGAGTGGGTCACTTAGACCGGCATGCTTCTGGACCCTTACTCGAAGCCTTTGTCTTCGCCTCTCGCAGGATGTTGGGCGCGCCTGACGCACAATGAAATTTTTTGCGTGCTCTTATGGGTAGAAACATTACATTTATTATTGGCTTCATAAGTTTTTGGTGAAAAGCTCTGATTCTCAGCACTTGACAACGGACTTGTCGAAACACACAAGTACTCAATTACTTCATGCCGACAAGTTTACCTCAGTCGAGTTACTTCTTTGCCAACTAGCTTTCTCAGCCTTCAAGCATGGGGGAACGCGAGTCTTCAGGCCCAACATTGGCGATTGCACCGATACAAATTGACCCAGAAACCGATACCAATGATTTATCCAACGTCAACAATGATGCCGCGAGTGAGGAGACAGAAGTTCTGCGATGGTCCTGTGTTGGTGCAGCTGGCCTATTCTTGATGTGCTCATACGGTACGTTCAGCACCATAGGATGGCCGTACCGGTTTTCACCCATGGATTGGACCTGACTGATTGGTATTTAGGCTTCTCTCAATCGATCGGGACTGTCCAATCTTTCCTTCAACTAAATCAGTTGAGCGACTATTCTGCACAAGACATTGGATGGATCACGGGCTTAGACACAGCTCTTTCGCTATTGTGTGGCTTTCAAGTCGGCCCTTTGATGGATCGCTATGGTCCTAGGCTTCTAGCGCCAGTTGCAGTTGGGCTCACCGTCGCAAAATTCTTCCTTCTCTCCGAGTGTAAAAATTACTGGCAGATTTTTCTCTGCTTAGGTGTTCTGGGAGGCATTGCCTCCGCGGTAGCCTCAACTGTCGCAATATCAGCAGTAGGCAAGCTGTTCATCCGCCGTCGAGGCCTGGCAATGGGTGCAGCGATGGCTGGAGCTTCTTTGGGTGGCATCACCTTTCCACTAGTCCTCCGCAGGGCTTTCCCGGCTTTGGGCTGGTCATGGTCTAACCGGGTGATGGGCTTCGTGATTCTAGGTCTCATGACCATTGGCATGGTTTTGCTTTTGCCTTTTCCAAAACTGATCCTACCCTCAGCGGTGTCGTCGAAGAAGAGATCAGCAGCACTCAACTTTGACGCTTTCCGGTCGGGGCCTTTCGTCTTCATAACGCTCGGGTTCTTCTTGTATGAGTTTTCCATCACTGGCGTGGGCGTGCTGTTGCCAACTTTTGCGGTCAAAGCTGGCTTTCCATCTGCGATGGGTTATACCTTGGTCTCAATCCTCAACGGATGTTCATGCCTAGGCCGCCTACTGCCTGGACTTGCGGGTGACTACGTAGGCCACTTCGACGTCATACTTTTCATGACTTGTCTCTCATTGATCTTTACTGGAGCCTTGTTCGTCCCGTTCGGGGGGCAATCGGCCGGAATCCTCTACGCATTTGCTGGTTTGTGGGGATTTTGCACTGGCTCTTTCCTGTCAATCCTTCCTGGTAAGCGAATTCTTAGCATGTTCAGTTTCGAGCTTTCATTTTGGAACTAACAAGAGTTTGCGACTAGTGTGTGTGGGCAAGACTTGCGATCCTAAAGATTACGGAAGATACTATGGTGAGTTGATGCACTAAATCATACCTGCCTCAATTTGCTCAGGATTGTCTGACTGACGTGATTTCAGGTACCATGACATTCTTTGTTAGTTTCAGTGCCCTCACGGCAATTCCAGCAGGAGGTTCCCTTTTGGAAAAGGTGGGCTCAGTAGGGGCGTCGGGTCTGTATCTTTCAACGGTTGCTCTGGGGGGCTTGAGCTTCTACACAGCCCGCTCCTTGTTAATTGGGAAATTTCTTGTTTTCAGATCAAATATCTAGATTTTCATTCCTCGTTCCAGCATACCAATTTTCATTACAACTCTTCTCTCTTGCTGACCAATTTTATTGTCTCGGCCCTGGGGAGATCGGACACAGCAGTAATCTCGAGACTGTGCCGATCTTCTCTCGAGACAAATTCTATGGCTCCTAGGTCTGGCCCGAAGTCTCTGATGGGACCTAATATGTAAACCTCCTCCACCGCAACCGCTGAACTTTCTGAGCTATTTTTGGCAACTGAGGTTGCTTCATTTCGTGTTCCAAGGGTCGGATTTGTAACATGAGTAAACCCTAGCTGTGTAAGACTGTATGGATCTTTCGGTTTCTTCTTGTCGTTGTGGTTGCTGGAAATCCCATCACTCAACTCTATACCATCCGAGCCCTGACTTGATTTCGGTGTGAACTTGTACTTGTGGTAGAATTGAGCCCATACTCTCCGTTTGAAAAGAGGCACCACCATGGGGGCCTGCCCAACGAATATGGCAATGAAGTCCTCACGAATTGACCACATTGCCCCTGGGCCAAAGCCACCTGTAGGCTTGATGCATAATTAGCAACATCTCGGAATCCAAGAGGGAATAGGATGTCTTACGTGAAAAATGAGAACCACACGGATTGTCGCAGCAACCATGATGAAAACTCCCAAGCTGAAAAGAAAATATACTCCAATCCTGCGCCAAATCGAGGCTCTAACGAGACTTATCACCTGATTGATGATTAACTGACCGTTTGCAGGTTTGACCGAGGGATACTTACGGGTATAGGAATGGCAATTATGCAAAGATCTGTGGTGACGTTCATCACGAAGATGCTGTAGAAGTAAATTTTGTTCTGTGGCACACAATTCTCTTTTCAGATCTTGTAAGCTAATGCTTCCTACTCGGATCCCACTCAAGCTTACGTACCTCCTGGATCTGGGCGAATTTGCCACATGAGAGAGAGAGGGAGGCATGTCAGGGCAATGATCAGACCCATCGCAACCGCCGTGGCACCAACTAGACCCATGACAGGGAATATAAACTTGTCTACCCACTGTCCCGCAACTAGTCTTCGATAGAAAAACAACACTATCATGTATTAGATATGTTGTGGCATGAATGCAGGTTTGAGCATGAAAGAGGCCTCGAAAACAGCATGCCACGTACTGTTGAACTTCAATGACCACACTACTGTCGCATAGATAATCATGCCTGCGACGAAATTCTTCGAGCCGTACTCCCACTGATAGCTGCTTTTAGTCAGACTTTGTTGAGAACAAAAGGTTTCCTTCGCACACACAATTCTGATTCTGGCAATGTCGCGCGCTGTTCCGGGGTCAGGAGCGAGGTGTGTTTGCCTTGGGCAATCAGCGCGAAGAGCGTTGCCATCACGCATACAGAAGTGTAGAGAGACTGCCATGATGTAAGTCGAAATTGGATTCATCCCAGTGACAGGAAGATAGGGTATACCCATGTGAAGAAGATGATGTAATCGTCAGGTCGAAATCCAGACACGCCCACTTGCTTCGTGCGGCAAAATACCCTCGCCGCAATCATCAAAGTCGCAACAGCATACAAAGTCCATATTTCCAAGAGAGTCGGGTTGATCTCCATGATGTGTCCGATGTGCGAGCCAGCTGCTCTGTCGGCTGTCTATTTCGTTATCATCGAAGCTAGTCCGGGGCTCCGATATTGTTGACTAAGGTGAACACAAGGAATACTTGTTTGAGTAAGGTAGATAGCAGCTTGGACTTTTATTTGAACCTGGGGAATAATTCAGTCCTGGAAAAGAGAAGATTGAAACTTCTTGAATTGAACGGTATCCTAGCAAGGGCCTGTCACCTCGATCCAGGCTGGCTAGGTCCGAGCATGTGGAAGTAAACTTCACCAACTTCAGTGGTCTCCCCAATGTAGAGACTCACAACCCCCCCTCCCCCCCCCAAACAATGAAAACCACCCGAGTCATATATATGCCAGGCAGAAATGTGCTTAGACAGTTACCCCGACATAATTTTTTTGGAGCGGCAACAGGCTTAAGTTATACGGTGCGGTATTGTTTGCGGCTCCCTGCATATATTTGGAGTGATAGCTCCACAATCCATAGTTAGGGCAACAGAATTGTCTGCCGATATCAATTGGATGGTTGTCTCACTCGGCGGTGGCGATGGGCAGCTCCTGCACTAGGTATTTCAGCGATAAAAGCTGCGAACATGGAAATGGTTGGCATTCCCAGGACGTAGAACAATCTGTTGACTGCTTCGGGGTAGTTCCAAAAGTTAACATCATGCGATTCCACCTTGGCACAGGCTGCAGGATGGAACTCTCGATTCCAAGGTTGTGCCATGCTATTTAACAAACAGCACGTGGTAGATCGGTGCTCGAATGCACTGTAGACTTCTTCCATCTGGCAATACTTCGATGTTGATCAAGATAATAGAGCGTTATCCCTGTCCATCTTCTCGGTTCCGCGAGTCTATAAAGCCCTGCGTGTGCCACGTCCTGATTGCTGGTATGCCGGTAGGCCGTATGCCAAAACTTCCCCAGGTTGCCCCAACTTCTCCAATCAACTTCCTTGTGCCGAGTGGGAACAACAGGGAATGATGAGACTGAATCATTGGGTTGCAGCGCCTGTGACATGGCTCGCAACGAGTGAAATTCATCTAAAATCATCCCTCTCATAAACATGTATGATGTAGACTCGAGGTAGTCAAAGTTAAGAGTTCAATAAAGCTTTATGGTATGCGAATCTAGCAGGGATGAAATTGAACATACGGCAACTCTGGTTATCAAGACTTCCCATATGGTAACCGGTGGACTGGGTCGCAGCCTGGTATCTCTTCACCTGGACTCTGAATTAGAATATCAGCAGAAAATCTTATAATTAGATGCCCAAACCAATCTCAACCTATTCCACCACAGCGACACTTTCTGAATCTGTGCTGTGACATGTATTATTCCGTTTTAAGTGAACTCTCTGATTCGACTTGGCATGCACCTCCTGGTCTTCTTCCTCCGTCTTGTTTGGAACTTTTGGAACATTGCATGTGATGAATCTTCGCACCACAATCAGCACTGGCCGTTAGCTCGTAATCATCGGAAAATGAAAATCAACACGACCATAACAATCACATGCTCTCGTATTTTGATCCACCTTCGATTTCCATGTTCTATCGCTTAAGCCATGTATCTGGTGCCTTGATTATGAAAGCTTTAGATTTGGAGATGGGACAACCTGGGGAAAATGAAGTTATATAGAGCAATGACAATATCGCAAGTATCGATTACCAAAACCCATTTTCCCATGACTTCTAGAACCAGTCCTCGTTAGTCAATCTTTGTTCTTGATCGTCTTGTTCATTGATACCATTGTCTAAGTTTTGTCGAGGATGTGCTGTGAGGAATTCGGCTACTAAGAATAACAATGTTAGTACTAACACCTGAAGTATAATGAAGGCACTTGGCGGAAAGTACCAGATGTCGCAGTGTGATATTCATACCTACATTTATGTAATTCCTTTTGCAACTTACCAGAGATACAGAGGCGTGGGCGTGCGAAGGTGATTTCCCAGAAAATTCAAGAAGCACCGTGTTAACCCGCATAGAAACGTCAAGAATATGAATGCGGGTATGGCACGTTTTCAAGGCTATTTTCTCGATTCGAGAGGGAGCACAAACTGTGAACTGATGCGAGGGTACTGATGGAACCTTCTGCAATCAAATGACATCATTTTCCCCCCGTGCGCCCAGCGCACTTCGCGCCCTAAATGAGTGCTAGATAATCTCTGTATTCAATCGACCAAAGACCTGGGCTTTCATCTGATATCGAGAAACCGCCGGATGTGCTTTTTCTGAAGGGGCAGCGGCCATTGATATTATGCGGATTCGAGGTACGATCACCTTGTTATTGCTCGTATGCACTATCAATAAGACAAATAACAAAAGCCCTAGCCTCGGGTCGTCCCTTGGTAATTGCGCTGACCATTTTAGTTCGAAAGGTCTTCATATTCACGTGAAAGATCACGAACTAGCTGCCTTTGCGCTTGCCATCTACGTAGCTAATGTTGGGTCACATATCATCAGACAGTTTGAGATTCTTAAGACGAGAGTCTGTGCGACATCTCATCTTGTAATTTGGTTGGCAGCTCTGCGCTCTGTCATACCACACGTGAGGATAAAGTTGCCAAGCGAAACATCCAACTCAAGGTCCCTGCCCTTTCAAGGTAAGCTTAGCGTGCCGGCTGATATATCCACAGCGATGAAGCTTTCTGATTGCTCAATGTCGTTTAAGCGTTAAGTACACTAGAGATCGTCTCTTGGACGGGCTTCCGGATGCAGCGGTGCAAATATGACTGGACTCGGAAAATAGGTAGTAGCCTCTTGGATGAGGTTCGGCCCCCGGCTCGAAAGCGAAGGCGCGCGAAGGCTTATCTCTTCCGCTTGGGGTAGCGCGGTCGTGTGAAAATATCCGTCGCCGGTTCTTGTTGTTGTGGGCTGGTTCAGGAAGTTTAGCCGTGGCTAGTTGGGTACTGATCATTGTTTTATGGTTTACCGTATATATGTACATATGATATCCTTTTCACCGACCAAATAAGTACTCTTGCATTGGCAAGATTCGACTCAACTCACTAAGTATCAATTTCACTTATTACACGCTCATACGAAATATCAAATCAGGCATCATGGCTTCAAGAGAGGATGGAACCAATGGCATGAATGTCGGATGTAACTACGGCCAAGACTACCTGCGAGCGGTTAGGGGTATCACAGCATCTTCTTTTCAGACAGAGGAGGATCGCATGAAGGCACTTCTAGCAACGTATGAAGTTCTGTCTAAGCTGGAGACCCCCTGGGACACATATGTCAGAATTCATTTAAATCAGGTGAGGCCCAAGAAACACGCAGACGAGATTTCGATATATCATGAAGTGCTGACTCAGTTTTAGCCTTCTGTTACCGCGGGGATAAAAATTATCAAAGACTTGAAGTTGATGATGAAGTGGAAAGAACAAGGATTTGTCCCGATGACGAGTGCTCAGCTCGCAGGCCTTGTAGGGAGCTGTGATCCTCAGCTTCTTCGTAAGTTTCATCGATGATAGGCTTGGGTACTTGGAATCATTTTCGGACACTGCTGACAGATTGGCTGTAGATAGGTTTCTCCGTAGCTTAGCTGCGAATGGTCTTATGGAACAAGTTCCAGTAGAAAAGTTCAAACCGAACCAGTTCTGCATGGAACTATCAAAGCCAGACTTCCACACTCTCACAAACTTCTAGTGAGTGGCACGATCAAACCGAAGTGATTTTGCATACTTATAAGCCCCACAGTTACGTGACTGGCCACCGTGCATATGGTACTTTGCCCGACCATCTGGCAGAAAAAGGGTACAAGGATCCCTCTGATCCTGCAGACACAATCTTACGGAAATCTACTGGGCACACCGGAGACCTGTGGTCCTTTCTGAGCGAGAATCCGAAAATGGGTGAGATGTTCAATATCGTACAAAAGGCGTCCACCAACAAAGAGCCACCGTGGATGGATATGTACCCTCACCGTAACTTGGTTGATGCATCAGATTCAAGCCTTCCACTTCTTGTCGATATTGGCGGCGGGATTGGGCATGATCTCTTACGTTTTTACAAAGCTTACCCTAACGAAGGCTCGAGGTTATACCTCGAGGATCTCCAATCAGTCATTAGTGACGCGAAGGATAAAGCGCTCCTTCCCGACACGGTAAAGCAGGTGGAATACAGCTTTTTCGAGCCACAACCAGTGAAACGTTAGCTATACAAACCGCTTTGTACGAACTTGGTGCTGACTTGTGATACAGACGCTCGTGCATATTACATGCACCATATAATCCATGATTGGCCCGACCATTCGGCCCTGAAGATACTAGAGATGCAGAAAGGCGCCATGAAACCTGGCTACAGCAGATTACTCATTCATGACCAGGTCTTAGACGACGAAAAGAGCCAGATGAATACTACAGCATTTGATATAGCCATGATGGTGTATCTATCTGGGAAAGAACGCACTGAAAAGCAGTGGATGGCTTTGCTTGACTCGGCCGGTCTCAGAGTCATCAAGTTTTGGAAGAAGCCACCAGACTACTTCAGTGTTATCGAAGTTGAGATTCCAGCTTCCTAGAGTTTTTAGGCTCCTTGTGTCAAAACGTACGAATGTCAACGACGCGTAAAGTCATACGAGATTTGAATGACACTTGGCACAAGCTACATGATCATGGGCTGTAATGTTCTGGTCAATGAGAACATGTTACGGCGGCAATTGGATTACACTTTGCAACAGACTGCGTTGAATCAAACACACCATGATTGAAAGTGCTCTGTCCACATGTCTACAAGAAGCGAATCCCTGAGCAAGTATTACGTCACTAGATTGTTTTAACGATATCTGTCGTTTGGGACCATGGTTTGCACTAAGCCTGACACTGGCAAAGCTTTCTAATCGCTACCCTAATGACATTCGGTATTCATATTCAATGAAAAATGGATTAAAAGCCTCAAGTAAGAAAGAGAATTTGATTTTGATTTTGAACGCCTGAAATTGAGAAGAAATCTAAACTGCGATCTCGGCTTAGAGGTTCTTCAGCTCAACAACCTCGTCTCTGTGTACTCGAAGGCCATAAATACTTTCAGGTCCACCTATGAACTTATCCCCGAATGCTTTAAATCCGTCATCCCTCCTACAGTATGTCTCGATGACTGTTTGGATAGGCTTAGAAGGATAAGGAACCATGATGCCCTGCCCATGGTCCTTTCCATCCAAGAACATTAGCTCCAACTCCTCTGTTCCGCTCCACTCGTAGTCTTTCCACGACTCTAAATCATCCATCGTCCACTTCACGTCTCCGGAATAGACATAACTTGCTACTGCTCTTGGGTTAGTTACGCAGTCTTCCCCTCCCAACACAACGGTGCTGCGCATTCCGGCTTGAATACCATTGCCGAATATCGCAGTTTCTTCTGGCGAGCCAGACGCATAGTAGCCAGCCTCAACATTCCGCAGGCTTGGAGTGAGCATCTCGCGCCACATAAGAGATTCCCGCCAGCAGAGCCTCCGAGCAAGTGTGTATGCTGTCCCGGCGTCGGTTGCACTTGCCCACCATATCTCCCATTCATTGCCGTGTCCTGTTCTCCCACGGATCGACGGCTTAGGCTCCCTGCGAGTAAAGTTGAAAGCGACATCCGGGAGATGAAGGAGCAACGACACTGGGTCAATCAAGATTGATGCCGCAACCCGCGGAGCAAAATCTGCTCTTTGTAGTAGTTGGCCCATCAATAAGGTTCCGTAGCTGTTACCGACAAGAACAAAGTCATCCCATGCTCCTCTTTCTCCGACTCCAGGCGCTGGTTGCGAAGCTCGCTGCTGTGCCACACACTTTGCAATCATCTCGCAGAGTTCGGGTGTTGATGGCAATGGCCACGTGGTGACACGAGAAGAAATTGGCAGCATCTCGACTGCTAGAATTCCGACGTCCTTAGGAATTGTGTTGAGCCAAAACATGTATGGGATCAAGCCGACACCCAGGCCATGGATAAATACGACAGGACGTTGCGTTGCTGACTTGTGAGGTCGATACCAGTAGGACATTTTGCTCGCCGCGGACTGTTTGAAAGGGAAGAGGTTGATGAACCGAACTGGGAAAACCTTGAAGAAGGTTGAGAATGACTGCTTGTAGTAGCAATAGCCTTGAGTAAGAAGATACAAAGCCATCAAGTTGTCGAAAAGTCCAATGACCTGGGAAACAATTTGATTAGTGAAGGTACATCGACTAGTCGAAGGGTGACAAGAGTAAATTGTGCTAACGGCGCATGTATCGCTCCTGCTTCCAAGGAAAACAATCATAGCAATCGACTTACCAGGTAATAAAGCAAGCTCCGATGTTGAATGATAACAGGGTCAAAGGCGAGTTTCAGGGCTTCAGCATCTCCTCTTCCCGGGCGTAATTCGATCCCAAACTTTTCCTCAATGTCGTCGACGTACCCTTCGAGTTCGGCTTCAACTTCCTTAGTAGGGCGTCCAGCTGTATTGTCCTGTTCAAACAAAGCCCATAGTAGCCAATCTTTCAGGTTTTCGCGGCGTATGTCCTCCATATGTGCATTGAGCATCCACATGCGAACAAATTCCTCGCCATCTGGCACGAGACTCAAGGCCTTGGAGAATAATCGAGCGCGTTGTGATCGACTCATTCGGGCGGGCATGTATGGCTTGTAAGTTTGCAAGTACCGTTTGTACGGTAGGAAGAAGAGCAAGTAAAAAAGAATCTCGATGGCGGCAATGACTTCGATGAAGATGGAAACTGGATGAGCAATAGCCTTGACGCCGCCTAGTGCGAATACGACATAGAAGTAGGTCAGGCCTAGGAGCCCTAGGTCCCTCATCATGATGATTAGCAGACGAACCGCAATGTATTGCGGCCATGTCTTTTGGACAATCATCGTCGAAGTCACCAGATCGGACCGTTCTCGTGCTGCGTTGTTGCCGAGATGCGACAAGAATCGCTGAAATAAGGCTGGATACTTTTCGAGTCGGCCGCTTCGAGTTCTTCGTTGATAATCTTGCGGCGAGAAAAGCAATGGGGCGGTGTTTGTTGTTCTAGAGAGCACTGGCCGAGACTCAAGTCAGATGTAGTGCGGAGTCCAGGTTCTCTGCATCACTTGTGTGCGTTGTGACGATGACGCGCCGCCCTTGAATAGATGCTGATCAACTCCAATGCCTCATACTAATGCGAACAAAAAAGAATGCATAGTTCTCCTCGGAAAGACAGACGCTCTGGACCTGCCGAGCGGTTGTGACGTATAACGGGAAGATGAATCGGACGCGGTAAAGCCAACCGTGTATACTTGAAAGGAGAGCGGATCCCCGTATCCGGGAAGAAGGTAGCGGAGACAGTCGTCCCCTTGACTTGACATCGGCGGGGTGGAGGTGATAGAAGACGGTGATCTTGGACTGCACCGCATAAGAATGCCGGCTGCGGTAGTTTCAAAAGGACTTGCCGCACTACGGACGACCTGTCAGCAAAATACGGTTATCTCTGACATGTGTTGCGCGTCCTGCAAGGCGGATCATCTCAGCCGTGGGAGACGGGCTGTGGTTTCTGTCTGGTTTTCGGCTTTGCAACCGAATATAGGCCCATCGACCAAATGGGTAATCGAAGAGCTGCACCTCAGCGGCGATGAACTTCAGCCCAAAACCGACTGTGTCGGACCTTGCCGACTCCCCATCGCCTTCTGGGCCCTGTATGGCCAAGTCTCGTGTTTCCTCGGTTGGTTCTCTGTTGGCGATTGGGCAGATCCGTCTGATCTTTACTCGTGCTCGTGTCATCGTTCATGTACTCTGGCCAAGACTTCTGTGGGATACCCTTGTGCTGTCAACGTCAAAGCCATCAAGGAGGCCCGAGATCCGCATTGATGCTAGGATCTAGGGGGCAGCTCCCCGTGTTCGTTCAGCGTGTTCGCTTGTAAGTACTTGATATTCTCTTGGTGGGGATTTTGACACATGAATGTTTCCTACGGTTATACATTGTTGCTAACCGACCAGACGCTTGCATCCAAATTTCCAAATGGTTGTGATAGTTGGTTGTCCAGCTTGGAGTTTCCGAGTTGCCTAACAGTGAATGCGTAGATGTATGCCAGGCTATCCGTAATATCAGCAGCTACGGTACTTGTGAGTATAGAAATACTGGTCACAAACGCGAGGTTTTCCGTTATTGAAACTCGTCAACAATTGATGGCATGTAGCGAGAAACAAAACAGTGAAGTTTCTAGATCATTACTCATGTGCTGGTGAAACCGCTTTACTAAGCTGTCACTCGCATAAGGTAGGCTTGATCTCACTACTGTTCAACTTGACGTGCAGTCAGTACCTTGTCATCGTAGTATTCTATGTAAGTTGGGTCTTGGGCTTCTGAATGTATGACCCTTCTATGTCATCAGCTGACTTCATTCCGAAGTGATGTGGTATGGACCTACAACATGTCGAAGGTGCCATCACAACGGTCAACCTCCATGTCGGTTGGAGTAATATAATAGTATCACACAGCACCTTTGTCTTAGAGTCGTGGCTGACTTCAGCAACTTGCAGAATACCGCTTTAGCAGACTCGGTTAACCAGAAGCTAGAACATCTGGCAGCACAGATGAGGGTATAATAGGTCGCTTCCCTAAATTAACGCACACCAACGCATGTAGATCAATGCATCCTCAGATGTGACCTGATTGAAAGTATGAATGATTTTTCCAGGTCGATTCGACCAATTATGGATTAAAGTCTAATACTCAAACTATGCTTGATAAGGAGGCAGGTGATAATCTAGGAGATGGGGCAGTTGATTGCGCTAAGTGATCGGTTAGTCCTTATCTGCGATGTTCCGTGCCTTTTGTATAACTTACTTCTTGTCAGACTCGTTGGCGGTGATGCCATCCGGCTTCTTGCCGTCCACAGTGCACTTGGCGAAGACGTTGGGAACGATTTGTCCCGAAGTGGTACCGCAGTCAATGTGGTAGCTCTTGCCGCTGGTGCCGGTCACGTCGATGTCGTGGCCAACGCTGACGTATTGGTTGACAACACCATCTCCGGAGAAGTAGCTATCAATTACTGTCAGCCCTGTGCAAGAGTTGGAACCCCTGCGATACAATCGCTGAGTTGTGTGGCTTCAGGGAACCGTGACTTACCATCCGTAGATGATCTGACGGCTCTCAAGAGCAGGCGCAGCCTGGGCTCCGGCAACCAGGAGAGCAGCAGCGACGGTGAAGGCACGCATTTTGATGTATATATCTTAAGTTGGGAAGACAGCTAGTTTGTTGATCACGGAAGGGGATGAGAAAACGAGAGACAAGTAGTTGATGCAGAACAGATCGAGACTACGACACAAGTGCGTGTCCCATAGGCTCTTATACCAAGAGTGCACTAAACCAAGACCGTCGGATTTGTCGATCATTCAGTTTTTGACTTTCACGCATACGGGCCTCCAGTGGAGGCTATGCTCCTTGACTGCATATTGTTCTCATGCTATTGCCGGTTGTTAGGCTTCCTGGCAGCAGAATCCTGGGCCTAAATCCCGGGGAATCCGACATCAAAAATAACTTGGCGCCGGTTCATCCAATTGTGAACCTTAAGTGGCTTGTTTGTACGGGAACATTCTCACTGCCACAAGCAGTGGGGAATGAGCAGAGTATAATAGAATGCGCAATCTTAGTTTCAGAAGCTTATCCTTGTCGCGTCAGGCCATCGACGACTCGATGTAGCTCGGCCAACGGATTGCTGAACTCAAGCGTGAACCGTTGATGATTGGTAATCGGCGAATTATGAAGATGTAAGTTGCGATCTCTAGGTTGAAGGTTCGGAAATTTGTGATTCCTTTAGATAAAGCAGTCTGCATCCAAGGAATATGATGACTCAAATGGCAAAAACATCGTTCGTAAGGAAAGATCAGGTTGAGAGAGTACGAGTCAGGCGCAGGACAATCAAGGAGGCGCGGTATTAAAACACTGTTTGCGTGCAGGATTTCGCCGTGGTCTCTGAAAGTGGTCTTTGAAAGAAGTCCTTGAATACTTTTCTGTTTGTATAATCAGAGCCTTTGGCTGAAAAAATAAAAGACGGTGTTCTAGTACTGTCATAGACGATGTCCGGCCAGTTGAAGTACCAACTCGACAGCCAGCTCGCGCACTGATTTCGGTATCCTGCTTGACCAGGATGCGACGCCTAACGAAGCTGAGCAGAAAGAGAGACATCTGATTTCTGGGCTGTTCAATGATACGTTCGCTGGCTACTGAGCGTCGGTTCTCGAAGTCATTGCTGCCCTCTAATGCGACGCTGATCGACTGTGCGCTTTCCCCCACCTTCCGAGGCCAGGAGCATTACTCGCATTATCAGGGAAAATAATAAGCAGAGAAACATATGAAACCAAGTCTGTTATCATTAGCGAGGCCGACCGAATACATACTTGCAGAGACAGATAGAGATTACATTTGTCTGTTCAGACATAGGATGGGAATGCACGAAGCCAATTGCTTTTGCGCCTCAAAGTAGATAGGATGTATCACTTTGCAGCCCAGACTGGTTCGCGTTTCTTACCTCCTAGCTCCTGCGCGTGGAAAACGAAACATTAAGAGGAACTTGACTGGTGAAATTTGGCGAATCTTGGAGAAAAGAATTTGCATCAATAAGTAGGAAGCAACGAGGAATACGAGTTCAAGTGTCTTAGCTAGAACAATGAACAGAATAACTTGCAAAGAATGTGGCTTCAGTGTTGTCTGGGTTAACTCAGGGCTCTTCGGTAACCTGCAACGGCTTCTAATTAAAGAGCTGGCTCATCATTGTACTTACAAGAAGATCAGACAACGGGATATTCAGCATTACAAGAGCTGCTGTCACAGATCTTACAGCCACCGGCTCCCACGAATGGAAATTTCATAAGAATACTCTTTGCCCTCTCCTCGATCTATCTGCTACGATCTCATCATGAACAAGCCGGAAACCTGAGGGAAATGGAGAGCCATATGGATTGGATGTTGACCTTAACTTCAAGACCAATTTGCTTGCAGAAAGCTACAGACAACCTGTGTCAGCTGCCACGGTCTCGAGAGCTCCGGCCGAGAAGAAACAAATGAAGTAGGGAAGAAATTGACGTCTGCGAACTCAAGTTCTTCTTCAAGGTGCTCGATAGAGTAGGACCTGCCTAGTAACTAGCTGCATGCTGCTGCCTGCTACTTTGATATCTTCGGACTGAAAGCAAGGGCTTGAAACAGAAAAGATCTTGGGAAGCCAAAGCTACCTGTTCTAGCACCGGCCACGAATCGAGATGCCCGAGTTGCTGATTACCTTGACGAAGCTTGCCAGGCACTGTTCGGGTATCTCAACTATCAATTGTGTGGATTTTTGTTTTTTTCCTTTTTTTCCTTTTTCTTTTTTGCCTGTTACTTTAAAGGGGCACAGGCAGAGACGTATCTCAATGATGGATGCTCGCGGTCCACTGCGAGGTCCACTTTTCTTCTCTCCAGGAAAAAGAAAACATTCAATTCCTTCCTTCTTGGAGTTCCTGGAGAAGGAAGGGTCTGATGCTGGGAATCTATGTAGGGCCATTGCTACCTGCACCCAGTTTTGCCTGCTGCACCCATGCCTGTCAGACAGTCAGACTATCAATGATGAGAGTCACAAGACTTGGGGTGATTGAGGATATGCTCCTCCTGGTGATGTATTTGTAGAGAACTTGGAAACGATTATGTTTGTCTTTATCGTCTTAAGCGGCCAAGATGTTGTGCAAAACACGTACGTATTGGGCTCCGTTCCGGGATGCCTTGGGGTTAACGCGCCATTGACGGTTTAGTATTCTAGCAAACACATCAACAGTGAGCGAACATGTAATTAGATTGGAGTGGGGATATGGGAGCGATCGTCCCAAGACTGAGGGATCCCAAGGCTGAGGAACCAGTCAAAGAATCGTATTGAAAATTTCGATGGTAAGGTAGCATTAGGTGGGAGTGGCAGCTCATGTTTGCGGTACCGGCATATCGAGCCTGCCACGTTTTCGAGTGACCATTCGTTTTGCCAAGATGGCGGGAAAGTGGGCACTGGAGTTCATTGGACGCATCCCCTGGCTCATGCATGAGGCATGGAAAGGTCTGACGACGATGGCCTCCTGGGACAGGTCTAGCCCGGGACTCCGGGGCGCCAAAGCTTTCTTATTCAGACGCGGCTCCTCGTATGTCTCATTGCCTACTGCAAAGGTGTTGCGAACTTGCCACTCTTACCTTCACCAACTGAATCAGCGGCTGACAGCCCCTCATTTTCGAACCTCTTGACCATCTGGCCATCAAGTGCGATTCAATGTCAGAAATCAATTTGAGCCCCAACAAACCCGTGACGATATCATCTAGATAGGGAATATGAGAGCGAGGCAAGAGGGCAGCAATCACTGCTAATGTTTGCCTCCTTACCAACTGCCACCGGCGATCCAACGGTTTAGTAACTTAGTTCGGCATATTCATCCATGTCCTGATGGCGACGTCCAACCAGAACACTTCATGCGCCGGCACCAACAGCAACACCAATTCGCTTGTTTGCTAACATGATGCATACCACCCCTGTCGCACACCCAGAGGCAGGCACAAGGTCCGATTACATCAACTTCTCGGCCGCAAGGGAATTTCCTTTATCTTCGTCTTATATCTGCAAAGCATATTCCCGGTGCTCGGACGAAGATGGATGAAGCCCAGACGGCAAGCCGCATTCACCTTTCTCACTTTGTGTGACCAGATGTTCCTGCATCCAATTTGTTTGGACTCCCACTTGCACAATGGTGTCCATCGCATACCACTCGGATCACGACATCTCTGGGATTCTGACTATCTCACACGGAGTACTGAGTTTTGTAGCCACTGTTCTCTTCTTGCTCAGACTTTATGCCTCATGGAGGACACCACATGCAATATGGACAGCAGATGTTCATATTTCTTTGATAGCTTTGGTAAGTACTCGCCACAACTCACGTTGAAATAATATGAGACATGGCGCAAAGTGGAACAAACTGACTCAAAGGATAAAAGCTGGCAAATCACGCTTTGCTTGCTATTGAACTTGCCGGTAAGGTTATCCCGATGATCTTCGAGGCAATAAAGCTAACGCTCTAGTCTAGCTGTTCCACTCGGTCTTGGGACCAACATTCAAGATGTCATGGAAAATCAACCTGGCGGTACGGCCCTTCTGTTCAAGGCAAGTACCAGACTCTTTGCAATCCTCAGCGATTCTGTGCCAAGTAACTGACACGTGAGATCTAGTGTATTCTGGCCATCGACATTATACACTGCATAGCATGCTCGGCCGCCAAGATAGCAGTCCTCGCGATGTACTATCGCCTTTTCTCAGCTTCAAAGGTTTTGCGGTGCTGGGTATGGGGAACGACGATTGCAATCTTGCTGTGGCTCGTTGCTGTGATTTTTGTCAGCAGTAAGTTATCTTCTAGTGGAGACTCCTTCGTTATTCCTTGGCTTTCGACCTCGGCGATCAGTAACCATCTTCGAACGAGAGACAGTACTGATATTCCTGCACAACGCACAGCTTTCTCGTGTCTACCTGTGGAGTACCACTGGGATAAGTCGCTTCCGGGCAGCTGCATGGGGATCAGCAAAATAGGGATTCTATTCCCGAACATCCTCTTCGACATCATAGCCATGGTCCTTCCCATCAACGAGATATGGAGGCTTCAAATGCGACGGACCAAGAAAGCGGCACTCACAGGCATCTTTTTGATCGGCGGCAGGTATGGAAACACCTTCATCAAGCCATGCTTTCCCCCGAGTCAATGACTGACTTTTTCCAGCGTAATCCTCATCTCCATCTCCCGACCGCTTCTCTTCTGGATCTTCCGTCCGGTGCCCGGTATAGCGCACAACGTCAGCCAAACAACCATCTTCCCCTACACGGCATCGGCCGCTGAAGTCTGCCTCGACATCATCGGCGCCTGTCTGCCGCCCTGTGCGTCTCTCTTCAGGCGCTTTTTTGGTGGCGTCGTGAGCGTTGTGAAATCAGGACATCATTACTCCACCTCGCGGGGCAAATCCAGCGGCAAAGATTCGTCTACAAAGAGGTCCAGCAAGGTACACGCACTCACCATCGGTAAAGCGAGTAACCGCAAGCGGGCCGCCGCCGCCAATGACACAATCGATCTCGAGGGGTCTTTTGAACGGCTCGGGGACGGTGTGAGCTGGCAAGGGTCGACGGACGAATTGTATGGGATGGATGATCTCCAGCAAAGCAAAGCGAACGTGGTTGATGGCAAGGAACGTGATGGGATATGCGTCAGGCACGATATCCAAATTCATCATGGGGGCACAGTTACGGAGGAAGACATTAAAAAGTGGCACCGAGGAGATGTCTTCGACGGGAGATCTAGCAGACTTTCGGGAGAAGCTAGGGGATTATGAGTCTTCCAAGTTGCGTTTCTACTTGACTGATGTAAGATTTTGTACATGTTGGATCAATAGTATATGCTTCTTCCGAATCATACGTTGTCTGTGTACAGGTCGGTATCCGCCTCTACGGTTCAATTTTCCATCAACGTTTACTCCTTGTGTCAGATATGACTTGAGCCTGGAGTACAGAAGCCTTACATCTGCCCACCGGTTGCTACTTTCTCACAATTCAACCCACTCCTCCAGGTCCTCCCATTGCGGTATCACATCCTCTTTATATTCCCTATCCATCGAAACCTTCACCCACTCATCATCCTTGCCAAAGCCCAGATCAGCCATTTTGAAATACGCCAGAATGATAATACATCCCTGATTCCCCAGCGAAATAGCCATGATCTCGCCAACGACCTCGTCCGCGAGCTTGTCTTTTGGCGCGACAGTGACCTGGACATCCTCTCGTTTCTCTTTCATGGCGACGTCTCTGCATTCCGAATCGTCGGTGAACGCATGTATATGGACGCCACATCCGGTGCCTGAGGTGGTTTTGCTCGCGGCGACGAGTCTGAAGCAGTTGACATAATTATCGTTGGTTCGGACAGAGATGGATTCTTCGAGGTCGTCAAATTCGTGGGTGGGCTTTTCGCGGGGAGGTGCAAGATGTCCGTATCGCTCCATGTAACGATATGAGGATGTAATGGTTTTAGCCGAGGAGTTTGATGTGGGATTCTGAGACATTGTTCCAGTGAATTGTACCAATTCCTTGTGAGTTGGATATCTTGGAATCTGATGAAGCTTCGTGAGGGAGATGTTTCTATTGTGCAGAATGTTGCTGTGTTACGGACTTCAACGCAGGCTAAGGCTTGATAATCTAGTCGCACTTGGTTATATCTCCGAATGCTTTCTACCTTATCCTTAGTTAGAATGAAGTCACCAATTAAATACAAAAGTTCGAGAGAAAATGGACATATCAGAAAAGACTAATCCATTCGTGGGCAAACTTTGAGTTCTCCAGTTCCGTGGTAGCGGAAGAGAACTGCCTTCGACTGCTAGGCTCAGGTACCTTGTTATCGAAGGAAAATAAATTTCATGAGTAACAAGTACGATTCCATGGCCCAAAAGCTCTTTAACATATTCTTGAGTTTTCTATCTTGATTTTAGTTTTTCTCATGAGATCCTTTCGGCTACCTTTCAGGCTACTCAGCACCAATAAGGTCAGGATTTGGTCCACCCTGAATACCTGGCAAACGGGTTCCTAGCCCGGAATCCAATCATTTCCGTAGTCTTCTCCAGAATGTCCTCCTCATCTTTGGTCTCAGACCTCAAATTGTTGAAAAGCATCCATATCCCACTCCCTCACCTTCCCCCTCGCCACCCCACAAGGCCTAAAGTGTTTAAATTCAATTGTAGCAAGTGCAGACACTGTCCAAAAAGTCAACAACCATCAAGGCCACAACACGGCACGAGGAAAAGATTTACGAAAACTTACTTCTTGGAGTTGCAGTATCCACCAGTTCCCTTCAACCCAAAACACTACAGCAAACTCGTCAGCGAAATTCCATCAACGAGCCATGAAGATCCACGTCAGAAACAATACCTTAACCTGACAAGCCTTATCGCCCAAGAACGAACACGTCCATCCCTGGCGGGTCTCGAGGATCTCTGCGGCGCGCTTGACGACTTCGGTCTCTTCTGCAGAAAGGATAGTACGGTCCTCGAGCTGTTCAGCCGCCGCTGCCGGTTGCGCGATGGGGTTTGCGAAGACTGTCGTTGAGGAGATGGCCAGCGCGGCGACGGAGAGGAAGGTCTTTGAGAAGTGCATTTTTTGAGGAGAACGTTCGTCTGTTTGGATTGAGAAGGGCGAGGTATTTCAGTTGTGGGACAAGGTAGATGAGTGTAAGTAGGACTTGCTTGGTGGATGTAGTGATCAAATGATAGAATTTGTGAGCTTGGAAGTCTAGAGATATGGATTAAGAAGGCCTTTCGACTGTTGGTCTTTATAGATATTCCCCAAGCACATCAACGACCCAAGCTCTACCCCAAGCCCGTCGATATCTCCAACCTGTTCACGTAACATCTCCCCGTCTTCCGTCTCCCTCTCTCGCTCATCTCCTTCGCAGCTAACTTTCGAAGGCAAAGATCCGCAGACCAAAGTCTGACGATCTCGCGGAGGATAGTTGTGGCTGACAACCTCATTACAAGATTTTCATGATCGGCAAGTCTCACGGGGACGAAAACCCTCCTCTCCTCAAGGCGGATATTGAGGTCCGAAGATTACCGATTACAACTGACGAGTCAGTAATAGATAGCAGGCTGTAGTAAATGACTATCACGCACGGCAGGTTAGCCTAAGAGACCGGTACCTATGCCAAGAAGCCTATCCTATATCTGGCCCCGCAAAGCTTCAACTCCCTATCACCTCGTGGCGTAGCTTATCAGACCAACATTGAAACAAGAACGCGGAGTCTCCGCAGCCGCCTCCGCTATGTTAATAGTTCACTCAAGTGGCAACGTATAACCGACCGAACTACTACGTAAACTCAAGCAAGCTTTTGATCAAAGTGGCCACAGTAGGTAGGTAAGACACAAGACCCTGAAAAATAGCCCCGCGCCGGAAACAGCCTCAACGTGGACATAGGTAGACTGGGGAGGCTAAAATGTCTCTCTGGTGGAGGCCAAGACACGGACTAACAAGTTGGCATGCGGGTGTAGCCGCCGCCGACGACGCCGAGCCCGGTTGATCTCCACGTTCGGACTTTTATCACGTAACAAGTCGTCCAACGACAATGGTAAGCAGCCAAGATAGCCACTGTGACAAGTCAGAAACGGGATGATCTCCTCCTTCAGATCGCCAGGGAGTCAAAACAGGCTTCACACCAAGACTTCTAGGTACCCCGACGACAAGCCTTACATCGCCTGCGACTAGCTCGTGGGTACGGTGACCGAAGTTGGAAATGATTCGGGTGATTCTGACACAGAGCTGAACGAAGCTGAAGCTGGACACCTAGGCGCAGAAACATCATAAAAGCCAAGAAGCTAATAGCTGTCAAACTCCACGATGTCTCATGACCTCCTCAAATTCGCATTCCTCACCATACGCCAAGCCACAGTAGCCACCCGCAGTCATGTTTGCCACATCAAGGGGGAAGCGAAAAGCCACACCTGCAACGCTAAGAGAGCGGCCCGTCGGCCGGGAGCCAAGTTGCTTCCCTTGGTGTAGTGTGTGCTTTTTGGTGGCTCGGATGCTCTTGGCGTCCGTTGAACGTGGGCTTGCCATCCTTTCGTCCTTGTGTACATGGCAAGCTTGCTTGCAGTCTGCATGTCCGCCGCAGAAACAAGTGCATCTTTCCAAAGTCTTAACACCTGGAACACCTGGAAGAGTACTCAAAGTGCAGCATACACAATAAAGCCTCTACATGATCAAGAGCCCACACGTATCTAATGTTGCAAGAAGCTCGTCCTCGCGTTCCGAGCAGCTGGAGTCGGAGACCGGGAATGAAAGCTCCGGTTCAGACCCTTCGCAGTCATGACGTGCTCGCCGAGACGCAAAACAGGCTGTCAATGTCATCGGGAGAGGGAGGGTCCGCTGGGCCAGAAAGAGCTTTCAAGCAGCATAAATAAGCTATTTTGACTTTCTCCTGCCATACGGCTGGAAGATACATACAAGTCCCAGAAGGAGCGCAGGAATGGAAGCAAGGATGATAGTTACCTGAAGACCTGCATGTCAAACCTGCACTCTTATCGATCGCGAAGAACTTTGTGGGCAACAGAATGCCTGTCTGTCCATGCAGGGAAGCAAAGGGCTACTGGGTTGAACGTGATTCGACAGCACAACAGCTGCAGGCCTCGCAGCTACTCTGAGGCTCGGGCACGCGCGCCCTTGGGGGAGAACGTCGAAAAAAGGGAGTTCTGGCACTCTGGTTGAGAAGACTCATGCCCGTCTCAAGCCCTTCCAAAGCCCTTCCAAGATGGCCAAGAGCCCCGTGTACATAATGTCGTCCATCCGTCTCCCAGAATGTCGGATTCCGCAGGATGAGACCAACAATGGGCTTTTAGAGGTGAGGAAGAACACATTCGAGCTGAAAAGATGCTTACTGTAGCCCAAACCTGACTGGCTGCCGAATCCCGTGCGATTAAACCTTCCGCCAGGACCACCGGGAGACTAGCCGGCTTGATCCTCGAGTGTCAGGTCCAGCCAAGGCATTAGGTTCTGGGGTAAGTAGAGTTTTCTCTTGTCAATGTAACTTTGATGAGGAAAGCGTAAGAGCCCAACTCTGTAGCACGATAGGCGAGAGAGAAAACGGCCAAGCTCATACTGCGGATAGCTCGGAGGGGTTCTGTCTTGGTGTCCGACAGGTGGTGGTAACATGGTGTTGAGTCTTGTCTGGGGCCAGTCGCAAGCTTAAACATCCCCCGTTATCCAACCACGTTGGGAGAAACATACGGGCCGTGGTCACCGAGTCGTTGAATGAAACTTGGATATCGAAATAAGGCCGCGGCGGATGCGTGGGGGTGACTTAGCTTGGGGTGCTTCGTTATCGGTGCCTTTTGGATCTCCGACGCTTTGTTGGTCGGTGATCGGCCATGGGTGTTGAAACCGCGCAAAGAGCCGCCCGCCACGTGTTGGTGATGGCCGTATGTATTGTGATACGTCTACCGTGCGCGAAACCGCAAATTCTCACACAAGACATGACGTTGAGGTTCCCATTGCGAAAAAGAGGAGCAGTCGAACTCCGTTTTGGATCTCCTTATCCTCCCCCCGGTGCATCGTACATCCTCATTTGCGGTAGTGCAAAGGAGGGAGGATGTGCGGGGGATTTTCCCGTAGCCCTGCATCCGCGTTAATGAGAATTAAGGCTTATGTTCCAGGAACAACCCAGTGACATAAAGCGTTACGACTCGAGGAACTTCTGGACCACTGCACTGACTATTGCCTCCTTTGGCCGATAGTTGGGGTGGCTGTGCGTTCCGCTTTCCGGTTTCGCATTGATTTCAGATCCCGCCGTCTCCCTACTTGATGTGCGTGTTCTCCTCCCCCCCCTGATCATTCTGCCCGCTCTCATCAAAATGGTTGTTGGTCGCATATTTTCTCGTCGACGTTGGAGCCGGGTTGTTGAACAATCAGATTCTCATCACCAACAGTCGCCGGCAGTTTCTACCATGCCCGACGTCGAGATGGCCCGAACGGGAAGCGTACAACGGCAAGGAGAGAAGGAAGAGGATACCGAATACAGGCCATTGAATTGGAAGAAGATCTTCTTGACGCCAAAGTATATCCGTATGAATCATCCAGTCGGCATCGAAAATACAGGGGAAACTGACCTGGGCGACGTGCAGCATTTCACCTTTTGGGCATAGCCATCATTGTGGCGACAGTCTTTATCAGTCTTCATCATGATGAGGTCGTTGAGGTATTTGGCATCTTATGGAGAGCGAAGAAGATGTATACACTAACATGTACGGCAATCGTAGAAATTGAGACCCTTTTCTGAAAAGGTCCGGTCGCTACCCGGAGGGTTCTTGATTCCGATCGCCATCTTGGTGCTGATCTCGTTCCCGCCCCTTTTTGGCCACGAGATTGTGGCTCTTTTGTGCGGTGTGGTGTACGGCTTGTGGATTGGATTTGCCATTGTCGCAGCCGGCACTTTCATCGGAGAGAGTACGCCGCTCATAAGCCCTCACGTATGACCAGATCACTAACTCGGCCTGCAGTTGGAACCTGGTTTGCGTTCAAGTACACCTTGCGACGCAAGGCCCAAAAGCTGGAGAGGACTAACCTCAACTATGGTGCTTTGGCGCGATTGACTCGCGACGGCGGATTCTGGGTATGTTCATTGGCATGCGTAGTTTGTGTAGTTGAACTGTGTGACTGACACCTAACAGATTGTCTTCATCATTCGGTTTTCGGTCATTCCGTCCCATTTCTCGACCGCGGTGTTTTCGACATGCGATGTGAAGTTTTGGCACTTTGCTGTGTCGACGTTCTTGACGCTTCCGAAGCAGATCATTCTCGTCTACCTCGGTGTCCTCCTGATTGAGAAGAAGTCGAACAACAGCAACAACACCATCAAGAACATTGTCTTTGGCGCAACATTCGTTCTGACCATCGCACTCGCGATATACATCTATGTCAAGATGAGAAGAGTCAAGAAGATGCTGTTGCAGGAGCAGGAGGAGAGGAGAGTGCAGCGAGAGTTGCAGGAGTTGCCTCAGAAGGCTGAAGTCGACGCAGTCGAGACGGAGATTGTACCCCTGCAGCCAGGCGCAGCGACGGTGCGAACAGACAGACCGGGATACCCACACTGGATTTGAGGGCTAGCAGCCATGATAGGGAAAGATGGAATCTTGAGAGAAAACAGATGTCTAGGGATTCAGGACACACAGGGACGGGGGAACATGGGACAATTGGTTTTCGGAGTTGGCGTTGGCATGCGCAACATAGCGTTTGAGGGCAAGGAAGAAATGATTGGCTTTGGTTCTGACAAGATGAGCGCCTTTCCTGAAAGTCGCAAAGTGAATGCCGGCTGTACTGGCTTTGCACCAGTGGACAGGAGGCACTGACAAGTTGCCAAGGTTTGCCAGCCACCGGAGTTGTTTCGGTCGAGCGAAGGCACAATAGTACGAAGGGCCAGAATCTTCCGATATCGACGTTGGCGAGTCGGTCTCGTGCGTGAGATCGTTTCGAGATGCGCGACATACAGAAAGGCGCCTGAAATTGCCAATTCTAGACGATGTGCTAAGACAGATCAGACTGTATTCGAAAGCCCCCCCAAGCTGCTGTACGCATCAGTTGGCTGATAGAAACACATACTTTGGCGATTCTCCTATGGATCAATCCAGACTCTTGCTGCACGGGGGAGGATTGGGCTGTTTAGCTCGATATCTCTAATTATCAGCCAGGTTGGCTTTCAGCTAAGCAGTTGATCGTGGCCGCCTCGATGGGGTTTCTGGAGTTGAATTTGGACAATCTCCATATCAAACAGCAACAGCTCTATCTCATCGGATCTCTGCGAAGTATATGCCAGAAGAGGGAGTCATCTGTGCACTCGTTACGCCGTCCTTGACATCTTTGCGAGAAATGCCATCGAATTCCGGCAGGAAGGTGGGCTAGACATGACGAGCCGTCCCCTAGCGATCCGGTCAATGGGATGATCCCGGGGGAGTATGATGTGCAGAGAGTTTTTCCGACCTAATGGGGGAGAATATCTCCGGAAGAAGTCCGTGATGAGGTCGAGACTTGAGTTGAAGGTTGCAGGTGTGACAGGTTGGGGGTCGTCGAGCGAGTCGTTGAGGATCCGGCCGAGTCGTGGCTTGCAAAGGAAAGAAACAAGTCTGAGGAAGCACAAGCCACATTTCTCTTGCCCTGGACTTCAGTCGCTGTTTCCTGCACCCAAGCCAATGTGGGATGCCGCAAGTGACTAATTCGAGGTCGGCAAGACTCAAGCTCAGAGCGTAATTCACCCCGCCTCCGGTGCTGAGTCCGCTGTGGCCGATGCCTCTGGAGTCTTCTGCAGGCCCGGACCCCGGAGCGGATTCTGCACGCTGGACGGTCGTGGTCTGGTCCCTGGGCGGGGACTCCTGCTGGGGCTGAAGAGGTAAAAATAGCATCAATCTCAAGAAATTGTCCGCAGCACGCACTTACAGGGTCTACGTCGGTGGCTGTTCCGGTGGCCCTGTTTCGTTCATTCCGGGGAAATGAGGATGCAGATGGCTCTGCGGCCTGCCTCGAGCAAGAGATTGTTCCTACCGCTACGGAGTGAAGTTCTAGATGAGAGTAGACGGGCCAGCTCTGCACGGCAGGTGAGCGACGGTGAAGGTGGGTAAATGTTCACTCATACGCGGAGGAACCGGTAATAGAGCGCCGTCCATTCCTCATCCGGAGTTCCTCCATGTCGTTTTCTCTCTGATGCTCCATATGTCCCATGTCCGAGCCATGACAGGGGTAACGGGTCTTCGATTGAAGCATTTGGATAATCAGAACAATTATCAAAGAGTTTGCTGTACCTCAAACCACGTGAAGCCATATAGTCATGTTTGACGGGATGGATAAGTAGTGTCTTGAGCAATTAAGCAAACGTCTTCTTTTAATGTTTCATCAAAAGAAGACTCGTTTGATGAGGCTCAAGTACAGCTTGGTAGAGCCCAGAAACCTGACCATACCTTAATGAGCACAAACGCCTTGGCCCTCCACCATGACCTCATACGCGGATGAAACAACGCGTTTTCTAAGGAGCTAAGGCCAGCGGCCTCCAACTCATCAGTTAGCCTGCTGTGAGTACGTATGCAGTGATGCACCTGTGCTCTGGGCTATGGACGGTTCAGTATTTGTGGACAGACACTTGGAGACAGAGATGCAGGAGGCAGGGGGCTCAAAGACACGATGTGGAAATCAAGACCCAAGAGTCAAGATCAGGGTCTTTCCGGTGGCATTTGGGTAGCATTTGCAGAAGCTTCATGTACCTTACTAAGGTAACGTGGTAACCTAACGTCTCTTGGCAAATGAGCAATAGCAAACTTGCTGCTAGTCCCCTGATTCCCGGTTTACTGCCGTCAATCACCAACTCGATTGAGAAATCCGTTGGCGGTGGCGTTCGCATCTTGATTTCCCCCCTTCCTCAAGTTGGACCCTGCAATCGCCAACCAGCTGCAAGCCGCGCGCAAAAAACGACCCTTTACTTGCCGTGAGATGCTCAGCACCTAATCGTAGCGCGGCCACTATCGACGTCGGGGTGGCACGGTGCGTGTAGTTGGTGATAATTGGTAGTTGGAGGCTTGAAAAGCAAACTTTACAAGGTTGAAAAAAACCTGAAGAGAGGAACTGGGACCAGATAGGTGAAGTGGGCAGGAGGAGCCTGGCTGAGTCTCGAGAAGCCGTCCACAATCCACGGTGGTGCGGCATGCTTTTCCCCTTCCCTTCTGGTCCCCCCAGTCCACTCGGGTGCCTTCTCTCGCCCAGTTCCTTGGTATTCAGCCATTACGAGTACAATCCTGGCCACTGAGAGCTGCTGCGCCTCCTTCCAGACCACCCATCGTCTGTCTACCATGCCTTTAGTCTAGTCTTAGCCATCAAAACAATAAATCCAGCTTTGTTTCTTTTTTGGCGTCTCATAACCGCTACATACATAATCGAGACCGTTTTACCCAAAGTCCCAAATCGCACCGAACATCATTTGCGCGCGATTCGAAAGTCCCGAACCAACATCGCTCAAACCCACCCAAATTACGACGTCATGGCTGCTGTGCCGTCAGATCCTCCAGCTGTGGCTGCCACCACCAACACCAATTCTGTCCCGACGAACGGCGATGCCAAGAAAGCATCTGACTCCACGGAGACAGCTACACACGCCGCGGAGCCCAATGCTACGACAACAACCGAGGAGTTGAAGGCCGCTCCGGAGCCCAAGAGCGCAGAGGACACAAACGGACTGTCTTCGTCGAACGGTCAAGATGCGACGGGGGACGAGCCGAAGCCTAGTCTACCTCCTCGGCCGACATCAATAGACGCCAGGGAGGGACTGCCGCCCACCGACCAGTCTGTACAACAACAACCAAACACCGCCACGACAACGAGCACCAGGTCGCCAAGGACCTCTACGACTCAAGGCGCTGATACGGCCGCGACCTCGATAGAAATTGACAACACCAAGCCCGCCGACTTCGAGGGCGAAATCTCTACCAATAACGACCTGCCAACGCCCCAGATTCTGAAGAAGATCGAGAACTATGTAGTGCTAGATCGTCATGGGAAGAGCCACACGTTCAAGAGCTTATACACCGGTCGCAATGTCGCGAGGCGAGTCCTCGTCATCTTCATCCGCCACTTCTTCTGCGGCGTAAGTCTTCAACCAATCCCTACACAACTCTTCTCCTTGCTAACCCTACCAAGAATTGTCAGGAATTCCTACGATCTCTCTCCGAATCGATAACCCCCGACGCTCTGCTGGGTCTTCCCATGAGCACGTTCATTACCGTCGTCGGATGCGGCAACCCTGGTCTGATTGAAATGTACCTCCAGGAGACGGGCTGCCCCTTCCCCGTCTACACCGATCCTACGCGACGTCTCTTCGACACCTTGGGCATGACGCGCACCCTCGCGCTAGGAGCTCGACCGGCCTACATGCGCAAATCCATGCTCAAATCAGCCGCCGAGAGCGTATTCCAGGGGTTGAAGCAGGTCAAGAGCGGTCTAGCCACAAAATCGGGCGACCACAGACAAGTTGGCGGCGAGTTTCTCTTTGAACCACTCGAGCTCGTCACGCCCGTCTCGACGCCATACGCCGAGCGGCAGATCGAGGAAGCCATGACGTCGAAAAAGAACAGCATCGACAATAAGGAGGGCATCGACGGAGAGGGTGGCGACGATTTTGAGCCGGAGGAGAAGAGAGTGACGTGGTGCCACCGCATGCGCTCCACGCGAGACCACGCCGAAATACCCGAGCTGATGGAGATTCTCGGACTCAACGGGTCCGGAAAGCCTCCCGCTCACGAAAATAAGAGGTGGTCCAGGGCACTGGAGACGAGGAAGGGCACTGGGTTGAGCATGGCTAGCCAGATGAGCAAGTTGAGCGAACAGGAACGAGCATAGGAGCGGCAAGGCTTCTTTTGGGTCGTGGACGGGTCAGTGCGGTCCATCCTCCGCCGAGGCTCCGAGAATTGGGGATGATTATACTCATAGGTTACGGATCCAGGCCGTGCTGCGTGGTGCGTAGATGACCGCGGGCAAGCTGCTGAGTGGTCTTTCTTGTTGTTGTTTTTTTGTTAGGATTGATATCAGCATAGCCACTAAATGATACCTGCAGCACACATCACATCTTACAACTTCATGGCAGGACAGGTTGCATATGACAAGGCGACAGACCTGGGGTCTCCTCGATGACTACGTTCCAGTGTGGTAAGATGTGGTTGAATCTACTCGACGAGTACGGGTGCCTCATCCCATGGACGAGATGAAGGGAGCTACAAGGTTTGATTACAGCCAGATCATCCAAACTCGGGCACAACTTTCTACCGCTGTCCCTCGTACCGGCCACAACTTGAGGCCTCTTAGGTTACAACCCGTCTTACGTCTCCTTCGCCATTCTGGGACCAATGCGGAAATAAGCAGAATGTTGCGAGTACGACGAAATACCTAAAACGTATCGTCAGATGAAATAAGGCACTGCCAATCTCATCGGCTGAGTCGGTACCTTGCATCCTTCCGGCAGCCTTCGGCACCTTCGCTCAACACCACACCTTCTCGGGAGAAGAGTCAGATTCCTGGTCTTCGAGCTCGCGAGCTCGTTTAGGTGTCGCTCCTGACATGAGAGGACGGCGACATGACCTTGATTTCTAAACTTCTCTCGTTATCGTCTTTGCTGACGACAAAATGTCTCAAATTCATCGCCAACAAAGCTCTCAGGCTCGTTCTCATACCCATGATCCTCACAACCGGCCCGAATGAAGTCACTACAAAACTCGGATCCTTCAAGAGCCCAGCTTTTTAGTATATATACCAAGGTCACGAGAAAGTCTGCTCCGCCCTACACGAAATGTTTATCCAATCGGCCGCGAACCCTGAGCCTTTCTGTCACGGTAGGTATTGGTAAGCTAGCCGTATATGGGCACTAGTTAGACCTCTCCTTCTCGTTACCTCTTTTGGAGAATGCATGTTCCCGTGGAGGCTGTCAAAGTGCTAAGCTTATATTTAGAACATGCAAATCTGGGGAAAGGCAGGCTGCCTAAGCAAGTCACTTAGGGCGTAGCTTTGTAAGCTTAGCCCGGCAGTAGCTTCTTCAAATTCCCGGCTGAATCTGACTGGCCTTTTTCGTTGTCAGCTTTCGATCTTGCAGGGCTGAGCAACGAACCCACCGAGCAGGGAGGGCGTGCTGACGGGCGTGAGATCCTCAGCCCGGGTTTCTTCACTTACCGCGAAGCAGCAGCTAACGCAACGCAGGAAACCGCATGGAAGGAAGAAAAAAAAAGCGGAGGGATTTTTTGGGAGATTCGATTCTTACGGCTATTTCAGCAGGGAGATCGTATAGGGTTTGGTCTTTCCAAGAAAGGCTACGACAAAAAGTCTCCGCAAGGCTTTTAGTGAGGCGGAGTCGGTTTCTTTTGCCCTACCTTGGTAGATGACTTGCGAATGTTGGCCTCGTGGTGCCCGTTGTGATATCCGAGAGCTGAATGCTGGAGGATTGTGACATCTCCCTCACTCTCCGTCAGCCGCGATGTTGTCTCTCAACTCGCCTTCGCCTGGTGAGATTCCGGGCGCAGCAGTTGATGATCCTTCTACGAGGTATCGTGATGGACCGAAGAACCTCTTCAATACGAAGAGGACGACGAGATGAAGATATCTATAAAGCAGGATACTTCCCTCATCTTCAACAACACCTTCCTCTCATCCACACCATCAGCAATAGCTTCGCTTCCAGCCTAACAAGCTTACCAACCCCTCAACTTCCCCTCACCAACCAAACCAAAACCCCCCTTACCAACCCAACAATGCAGCTCACATCAATCCTCATCACCGCCCTCGCAGGCCTCGCCACAGCCCGCTCAACCCCCTCCGAACGCCGCCAAACCTCAACCCCAAGCTGCCGCCTCGTCGCGCCCACAGACCTCAACTTCGGCGTCGCCGACCTCCGCTCCGGCACCGTCGTCACCAAAGTCCTGACCTTCCCCGTCGGTCCCACCACCGCTGGTCCCTGCCAGCTCGTCGGCGCCTTTAGCCAAGGCTTTCCCATCGACCAGGGCGGCGACGCTTTCGCCCGCCTCAACGTGCGCGCGCTGGACGGTCCCGCTGCTGGTAGCTTGGTCGGTAGCTTTGGGCCGCTCGAGGTGGCGAATGACGCTGTTGTCAAGGATACCGTGCAGGTCGTCAACAGCTTTTCGTGCCGTGAGAGTTTGAGCTTCGAGTTTGCTATTGCGAATGATGCGGATGTTGACGTTGATATCAATGTTGCATTCACGGCTTCTGGGCTCGGCGGGTTCTTCGTGCAGGTTGGGGACCAGTGCAACTGAGTAAAGTGTGCTCGGGATATGTCCTAGACGAGGAGAGGCCAGGTACTTGACTTCTTCTCAGTTTCGATTTAGGTGGTGGGATTTGATATTTTGATTTTGCATTTGGGAAGCGCGGGTTTACTCGGGGTCTGGCATATTGAGCAGCGTACCTTAATCATGAGCTCGGGGATTCTGATTGTTGTAACTTTACTGGTACTTCTACCAACTAAACCATTCTGTCCTGAAAGTTTCCTCAGTCCTTCATGAGTTCTCATCGATCCGCCCGTATACCTCAGTCTTCTTCCAGCTTAGCCACCACCCCTCTTTGCTCTTGCCTCTCTATCTACCACTTTGGTCGTTCGTCCAATGCCGACAAGCAAATCCGTATCACTGCCATGTAGCAATATGATCTGGTAATTGATTCGAATTGGGACATTCAGTAAGTGCCAAAAGCGGCCAAAGGAGGGCAGACAGCCGTATAGCCATCAAGAGTCGTCCTGAACGTACAATTTGTCAGTCTTTGATCGGAATGAAGATGGGGGAAGTGACCATATGCATCGAGATATACCTGGGACGTCGATAACTCACATTCGGTGGTTGAACATGTATACAAGTAGCTTCCACTGCATCTTTGTCTCTGCCTTCACGGCACGAAAAGTCGGCTGGAACGAGTTTGACCTTCATGCGAGCTGTAGTCTTGTAGACGATAGGCCGACTTAGGCTGGGAGGCTACATAGTTTCGGCAGGCTCATCGATAGCCATGGCCTCGGAAGAGTTGCCGTTGGCGGCGTTGCTCTCTGCGAATTCGTTCTCGGCGGGCTTGTCCTCGAAAGGGTTGAATTCGAAAGACTCCAAGTTGTCATAAGCAGACTTCTCAGTTCGAGACTCGATGCCCTCGGGCTTGTCATCGCCAGGCTTGCCGTCGACGTACTTGCTGTGGTCAATAACGCTTGCCTCGTCCCAGTCAAAGGTGTTCTCGCAAGACGCGCATCTAAACACCCGCGCAAGAAGATTAATAAGTAGCCGCTCAAAAAATAAGAAGAAACAACGCCAAAGTAGTAATTTCCACATGGAGCAAAGGAACTTACTGAACGTAGTTACAGCCACCATCAGCCTTCTCAGCAGGGGACCCACAGACCGGGCACTGCTTGATGGTCAACTGCTCCATGGTACGACGACTCTGACGCTCAAGCTCCTCCTTAAGCTTTCCCTCCGCCTTCCAGCGCGCTTCAACCTCGGCACAGGTCTCGCCCTGGTGAACCTTGTCGCCGCATCCAATGCAGGTGAGCTTTCCGCAGGGGCAAGTACCAGTGCCGCTGACGGTGCCGGCAACGTTGTTCAGACCGAAGCGGTAACGAAGCGGGATGTAGCGGCCGCAGGCAGTGTCATGGCAGTACAAGGCGGCGTTGCGGGAGACCTCATCGGCCTCGTCGGCGAGGTCGAAGTAGGTCGTAGCCTCCTTGCGGCGGAGCAACTGGCGGGCCCAAAGATCGGGGAAGGGCTTCTGGGATCCGCAGCCGCCGTCGCACTTGGGCTTGCGGAACGGCTTCGAGATGCACGACTTCAGGTAGGCGGTCGCGCAGGTGGTGCAGTAGGGATCACAACCACAGGAGAAATCCTTGCGGGTGGCTTTCTTGCAGGCCTTACCGCAGAGGACACAATCCTTGATGTCCTTTTTGCCCTCCATGATATTGATGCTTCGAGCGTGGGTTTTCGAATGTTGATGGATGTTGGGGTGCCGACAGCTACCTTGAGGGTGAAGGTAAGCTGATAGTGGATTGGGAAAATGGAAAGTCCAGGAACGAACTTAGGGGTTTGATTTCGAAGAAGGATGGGGCCTGAAACTTCTGGCAGTCTACAGGGCGCTCTTGTTCTTGCCTCTGGATGGGTCTTCTTTGATGGGGGAAGGCACCCTGGCCGTGGAAGGCCATCGTGAGAGTCTCTCGGGAGCACCGGGACGTGGAGGCGCAAGACCATGAAGTATTTGTGGCCAGCCCGGGCTTTTAAGATGATGTCCTCACGAGTTCGAGACGGGGACAGTTTGGCCTAGAAGTGTCTGCACTGAACGTGGCCACCAGAAGGCTTGAGACTCGAGAGTGCTTGAATATCCAAGGCTCTATGGCTAGATGTGCATGAACATCAATCCCCAAAGGTCTAATGTGAAATTGATGGGATTAAAGCATAATCAGAAGAATAAAGAAAGGCAATCATTGACAAGATGTGGTGTAATTGCCGTCAAAATTTCTCCTGGAGTAAAGAAAATATTGGCGATGTCTTTGTCACATGGGAGTGGTTTAAAATATCGAGGCTCATTGAATATCTCTAGTTCTCCTGTCCTCAGATGTTCTTTGGTGCTTTGAAGGTCTGAGATTTGACTTGACTCTCTCTAAATGACAGGACGAACTAGGAATCCACCATCTGTTCACAATATCCACAATGTTTTTGCAGTTTCGGGGCATGGAACGATGGTCTCTGGAACTTAAGATTCAGACTGTGATATATCCATGACAGGCTAAGTTGATCATTGTCTCATGGCCAACATTTTGCTTGCAGGATAGAACTTTCGAATAGGTACCACGAGAAGTTTTCGGTCTTTGCCCAAAATACACAATTGAGTGGACAATATCTACTTAGTTAGTGGAAATAAGGTTCTACCATGGCTTGTTACATCTACCTTAGATGATCATCTTTGAACGGTATTGTTTTAAAGACATAGATAGGCGAATTCTATGGTAGAAAGGCATAGCAACCCTTGTTGATCATCTACCCATCCTGGACCATGGCATATCGATGCATGAGTCAAATTTTGGGTTCAAAGTTGAAAAGGGCAGTTTGAGCTAATGAGAAACCCCTTTATGTTTTGTGGAAGGAGTAAGCACAACTAAAACTCAGAGCAGAGTAACCCGTTGATAGATAAGTAACGTCTTGTTATCGATGCTCCTTTTCTCGACTAGGTAAGTCACCAATACTTTTCGAGTTTTTACAATCTTATTTGGCTCGTAAGCTGGCCTGTGTACCTCGACTGTATGAGTGTGGTATGCACGTACTGGCTCTCCGTTTTTAGTTGGGCCAGGTAGGACATTGTAATATGTAGGAATTGAAATCCACCTCGGTCCTCACACGTTCAGTGAGTAGAAACCAATTTATTTGATATAACTTACCTTGGGATGCACTTAGCCTCTCACAAATAGACATAGTTGTATGGAAATGGTGCTCACTCGGCCGTACTTGGGATATCACGTTGTACTGCGTATGCACCGTAGCAGCTTGAGGTTTGACTCATGTTACACCAAGGCTCTTCTCATTCTGGACACTTCCGGGGGTATGCCAAGGTCTTGACCGATTCAAAGCGCTTCGACTGTAGGTCATGATCAAGGGTATGGACTATGTATCATTGGAGCACTTTGATTCTACCCCGCAAGATTAAAATAACCTGCTGGCTGGTGTCTCAGGTATACTCGACACAGTTTGCCATACTTGCTCGGAATGTGAAGAGGAGCAACAGCATAGGGGAGATCATGCAACGGCGAGGGTAAAGACAGAACCATCTAAAAGTCATCGAATAAGGACTGTAGGCTGTCACTTGTCGCCTCAATATCCACAAGGGTTCGCGTTGGACAGACTAACATCAGTACTAGCCCGATTTCCCCTCTCAAGCGGTCAAGCTTATGTTTGCTTCTTGGCTAGTTTAGTGTGTAGCTTCGAATGTTATCCTTGGTTAACCACACCTTCTCGAATGCAACATTACAGCAATGTTTCATTGGCTTGGGCTCTATCACAAGAATCCTTCGAAAGTCACCGCAAGTCCAGCCGCACTGGAATACATGAATAGACGATACACGCAGCCGGGTGGTAGCACAATCAAGGTACAGCAACACGGCTAACAGAGACTACGCACTCATACGTAGAAGAATGAGCTGCATGTCCCTCATGTTGCTAGACACATACCGTTGAGAAGGCAGCCAATCCGGTGTTTCTCTCTGTCTATCAACCCCGCAGCTATGCCACAATGTTGTGATCGTATGTCTTTCAGCTGAATCAAAATGAGCAATATATACCGTTCAGCTATGCTGATCTCTTCGGAATAGTAAGACGGGCATGATATTACCCCTTTGCATCGAAAGCTTGATGAACCGACTTGGAAGCCAGAGCATGGAATTATGAAGTATTGTTAAGAAGCTTATAAAAGCTATGAAAAGTTAAGGAAATAGTCATCTCAACTTAGAAGCTCGAACCCAGCTAACTGTAGCTGTTGAATCTTGCGTGAGCCTCAAGCGAATTGACAGAAACAAAGGTATAGCCCAGCTATCAAAGCCTCGTGATTCGAAAGACAACTGACCAACTCTATGTTTCAGAAATTCGCCCAAAATGCGCTTTGCCACATCCTTAACCGTTTTCTTCCTCGCCGCAGCCGCCCAGGCCAGCGTCGCCCAGCAGGATGAACCTTATGCCGTAGCCGCGCGGGCTGACACGGACGAGCCCGTGGCCATACTGGAGAAGAAGGAAGAGCCAGGTCTGGAGAAGAGGGCCTGCAACTACAACGGGTGCAAGTGCGACAGCAAGAACAAGCAACTCACCGTCTGCGGCAACTGCGTCTGGAGCCGCGACAGAGGCTACGTCGTGACGAGCAAGAGGATCGCCAACCACATTTACGAGTGCTCGCCCAGCGGCAGATGCTGCGACTACGGTGTCGCCCATGACTGCGGTTCCCTCTCTGCTCGGTGCATTGTGAACTAACTGGGCGGCAGCGACTACTACACTTATTGTCTGAAGGGGTCGACTAAAGGAGCAGAATTGGCTGTCATCTCGGGTTCACGGCAAAAGTTGTGTTTGAAGGTGTCGTCTCAAGTCTGTATTTACCTCGAGTCACTCGCTCAAGTCGGTTTAGATCGTGGGGGTTTGATTCACTGAAGTTGCAGAGGAAACAAAAATCGGTACAAATCATTGGAGGCAATTATGGTTCCATGCAGGAGTGAAGTGCGTAAAGTTGCATGTTCCTGGTTCGAGACACTTATAAGGCA